TGCAAACCCAAGAAGGGCCCCGGGGGATTGCCCCCCCCCCCCCCCCCCGGTACACCCGGACGTACCATGATGCCGGTGTCGGTCAAATCGAAAAGAAATTGAACGTCAGCGCACACACATGTGCTTTTATAAAAGAGATCGCGTGTGGGTGCTGGTGGCGTTCTCTTAAATTTTCTCTCAAAGTGTCTCTCTCTCTGTTTCTCTCTGAATTCGCACTTTTATCGCTCTCTCTTTTGCCTTCAGCTCCCTCTCCCTCTTAAAACTTTCTCCAAGCACAACCTCTCTCTCTTTCTCCAGACATACGTATCAGCAACTTTATCTGACAATCCAATGAAGACAACAACTTGTCAAAATCTCTATAAATTTGCTTCGACTTATACAGACCAAAACCATTGAGAATCGTGCATATTTTGAGTATGCTCACTACGTTCGCCGGCATTTTTCTCGTGCGCCGGCTGCGGACTTTTTTCGAAAAAAAAAAAAAAAAGTGGCAGCGCAGAGTTTTGTTTTTTTTTTCCAGAACGGCAGAACGATCATGTGGTGGTGGGTAACGGAGATGGCCTGGGGGTTTGATCAGCAGCTGCCAGCGCTGATGGCAGCTGGGTATGCGTTGGGTAAGTGGTGCCGCAATTGTGCAAGTTGTATAGGTGGCTGTCGTTTTTGGCAAAATGGCTCCAACACACCAGTCGTACACTTTGCTTGACACTTTGGGTCGACTGTTCCCTGTTTGGTAGCTGGCTGGACCGTTTGGCGCGGCTATCGGTCCGCCCCTGCCATGGCGGCGCTAGGAGCCGCCACCGCTGCTTGGCCCGAGGTACGCTGACTTTGGACCGCCAGCCGTGAACCTGCTGCTCGCGCGCACTGACAACAACGCCGCGTGCTTGCACGTGTATGCGCTCGACTTTGGCAGGCCGGACTAACCATCTACCTGGGTGCTGCAATCTTGCATGCGCTCTTCGTGCTCTACATCTGGCCAATGCCACGCCTGCCAGACCCAGAGGGGCCCCACCAACACCAGCAGTGCACCCTCACCTTTGTCCCCGGTCCTGGTGAGCAGGCTGCCCGCACCTCACTCTCGCAATTTGCAAGGCGCGACCCGCATTCAAAACACCCTGCTCAACGAAGCTCACTCAAATCGAACGAACATGCAGAGGGCCCGATGCTGGTACGGATTTTCAGCCCGATTGATCAGGCGGCGCATGCTGCGCTGCCCCGGATGCCATTCAAGGATGACGTGGCTGAGTGCCATGGGTTTGTCCAGTACGGCGCCCCGGCTGTCGTCCAGCGATATTTCGGCTGGATCCTTGACTATTGGACACACGTTGAAACCAATTTCGCCTTGGGTGATGCCCCACCCAGCGTGCGGGATGGCCCCATCATCATCTTCTCCCACGGCAATGGCGCTTCGAGCACCATGTACCTGGGCACAATCAGCGAACTCGTCAGCCGCGGGTATGTGCCAATGCCAATCTCTCCTCCATCTGTCCTACCCATGCCCTCCCATGTTACCGCACAAATGCACTTATGTTTTTCCAGGGCTTTGCCATCTTCTTTCCAAGCGTTCTGTTCTCGAGAGTGTGTTTGAACTCTTCCACCTTGGCCATTCCATTCACCTTGACCGTGACCCTTGCAACTCGCAGAGCCATTTGTGTGTGTGTTGAACACACGGATGGTAGCGCTGGCATCACGCGAACTTCAAAGGGGGATTGGATTCCATATGACACGTCGGTCGAGCAACTGCGTAGGTACCATCGTAGCCATGCACCCAGAGTCGTTGGATCGCTCGCCAGCCCCTCGCCTCTGTTGTTGGTTTTGGCTTTTGGTTTTTGGTTTTGGTTTGTTTTTTCAGCTTTCTGCTTTCTCGACAAGAGAGGAACCTATCCCGCAAGGGCGATGACTGCTGACTCTCGTCATTGTCCTGTGCTTGATTGCATCCCCCGTGTGTGATGATGTGGACAGCACCGCTTCCCGATCAGATCTACCAGCGTCGACTCAAGTGCTGGCTGCGACTACGTGAAATGCGTCAACTTGTCGACTGGGGTGCGTTTTGACTCACCAAAGCAACGCTGCGCGCGCACACTTACTAAATTTGCACAGACCTCTCACCTGATGGCTGACACAGTGCGCAGCAAGGAACACCCGATCCTGGCCCAGTGCGACACAAGCAAAGTCATTGTATCTGGCCACAGCTTTGGTGGGGTGACGGCACAAGCTTTGGCCTACTCGGATATGATGCCTGAAGGTGCCATTCAAGGCTGCCTCGTACGTCCTTTTGCCTCTCGTTTTTTTTTCCTTGTTTTTTTTTTTTTTTCTTTTCTTGTCGTTCCTGGTCTCTTTCTCTCGCATCGTTTGTATAGCATTCGTTGCCATTTTTGGTGCCGCGCTGGAAAAGGTGTGCTTTGGACTCAATCCGGGACTGTCATGCCTAAACTTCCAGGTGATTGACCCGGCCATGGATTGGGGACCAACGGGTTTGCGCCGTCTTTTGCTGGCGGGACAGGCCCAAGACGACTTTACTGAGGACTGCTCACCGCAGCACAAGGCCGCCGCCGGCCGTCTTGATGGCGTCAACTTTTTGGCCTCGCGTGCGCGTGCCGTTCCAACTACCGTCATTTACTCGGGCTCTTGGCATGCCAGCGTGCCTCGGATGCGCAGTGCCCTCAGCAGTCTGATCACCGCCACTGGCCCCAAAGCCGTCGCCATGGTTGAGCACTGCACGCACGTCGAGCAGAGCGATGCGGGCGTCATGCTCCCCAGTTTCGTGAGCAAGGCCCTCCACCTAGTGGGCCCCGAACGCAGCCCTGAAGCCAAGCTCCGTGACCAACGGGCAGCCTGCGTTGGCCATCTCAACTACGTCCGACAGTCCACCCCCGGTGCTCCCCTAAAGACTGACTTGTCTGTCTTATGACGCAGCATCGAAAACACGCTTACACCCTCTTGATGAGGTTTTTTAATTTCCAGAGGTGTTTTGAGATGACTGGCACACAAGTGTAGATCTGTCACACATTTCAGTTTTAAAATTTCGCGCCAAAAATTTCATCGTTTCAAATTCATTTTCTCTCTCTCTCTCTCTCTCTCTCTCTCTCTCTCTCTCTCTCTCTCTCTCTCTCTCTCTCTCTCTCTCTCTCTCTCTCTCGCGTCTGAGTGTGTGGCGTTGAAACGGCAGCCAGTCACAATGTCGGCGCGTCGTACTAGTCGGCGCCGGGTGCAGGAGACCCTGGGACCAGAGTTGATTGGCTTGTCGGCTGGTCATCGTGCACCCCGCGATGCCAAGCGCAAGAGTGATGGCTCGTACGACATGGATGACTTTTTCAGCGACCGCTCAGGTACTCGCGCGCGCGCGCGCGCCGTTGAACCTCGATCAGGGGCAGACAAGCCTTTGAGGCCGGCAACCCGTGGTCCACTTGCTCATGCCACTTTGAACGTTGTGCTTTGAACCTTTTAGAACCCGTGGACGACTTGGAGGATAGCCAAGACCTCCCCTCCCCCGTGTCCACTGCTCCCCCCTCGACCCGAGCCGTAAGCCTGTTTGCCCTGCGCGTATGCCGTGCTTTACTCTCCCGCATCGCCTTCACCTTGATGCATCTGCCCCCTTGACTTGAACTTTCCATCTCTGACACACACGCACGTGCACACGCACACACTGCCTCATTGACGTATTCACACCCCGTGCCGCTCTCCGATCAGACGCTGGGAAAGAAGGGTCCAATCTCTCGAGTCACCTCGACGCCGGCCGTCTCCTCTCCCCTTTCTCGCCAAGGCAATAAGACACCTCAGTCTTTGCACAAGCCCAGCCCTGCCATGTCCAGTATCAAGCGCAGCTCGAAGCGTACCAGCCTAGCCCCTGGCACCCCCATGACACCCGAAGTGCCCCCGCCAGGTCAGGCGCCCTGCTCCTTACCCCTGCCTGCTTTTGTTGGTGGGCCCGGTGCCAATCTGAGAGTGGACATGGTTTAAGCTGCCAAAAGCACAATACACACGCACCTGACACAATGTCTATGCCTTGTCTCTCTTTTTAGATTTTGATGACGCACCGACTCCGGGGGCTCAGACGCCAGTGCAAGCAATCGACTTTGATGGCGGCGACGCCACCCCAACCAATGCGAGCCATCAAAGTGCCGCAGCTGAAGCTTCCCCGGCCCCCGCCGAGAGCTCGCAAACAGATAACGCGGAGGAAGAAGGCGCAACCGCGCCATCTGCAGGTGAGGTTTGGCCATCGCGCGGCCATCACCTCCAAATCGCTTCAGCGCCTCACGCTCGTGACTGCCGCCATCTTGCCGGTACAGCCAAAGCTTCTGCCAAACGGGCGCCACGGGCACGGGGCATGGACATCAACGTCATGAACATCCTTGAGCCACACGCTGAGGGTCGACCCCAGCGCAAACGCATTCCACCCACCCGCTTTTGGAAGGGTGAAAAACCCATCTACGTGCCTCGTACGCTCGACCAACTTGGGCCACCTCCCCTTCCGTGCCGTTTTATGGCCAGCATGACACTGTGCTGGCTGACGCGCCCGAACCCGCTCACTAACATTGCCATCGCGACATCGTTTTTGCTATCTACCGACGCAGATGAGGTGGATGGCCATCGTACTGGAACCATGACTATTGCAGATGTTCTGACCAAGCCGACGCCCGCCGTCGAACACAAACGAGTATGTTGTTTAGACATCTGTCCTGAATCTAGTCCACGGCACTTTTTGCAACATGTGCTGACAACTGCCTGCATCCCCAATCTTTGCCAATCTCTTCTCCTCAGATGCGCAGGACAAAGCGAAAACTGACCAAGGCCGAGAAAATGGCTGCTGGGTCCCGCACCCCCGTCGTTACGCCCAAGCGCCCTCGGGGCGAACTCAATCCCATGGATGTGCGCGTGCTCGAATCACCTGAGATCCCGGTGATCGATTACACGTCCGACAAGCCAGATGAGACGGTACCATTGAAGGTGGCCATGACCTATGCCATGCAACAATGGGCCTCCACCCCCAAGAACCCAGGTCTCAAGTACAGCAAAAACTTTCAAGACCGTACCTGTGGCTGGTCGAGCGGCATGCTCGAACTTGACTTTGGTGCCTCCAAGGGAGAAGTGAGCAGCACCAACAACTTTATGGTGAGCTATTGACCAGCCTGAGCCTGATTCAATGCACCGCCTGGCTTTCTCATGCGCACATACTTTTGTCAACCTGCATCTGACACGCTGGACCGTATAGCTATTCTCCGTCCTTTCCGGCGTGGTCCAAGCCACCGTCAACGAGAGCAAAATCACCTTGGGCCCAGGAGGCACTTTTTTCGTTCCGCCCAGTACGTTGATCGGGAGACCATATGAGTCGAGTGGGGATTCAGTTTGGATACTAGCGCGCGCGCTGCTGCTGCCTGTTCCCACGGGCAGGTCTCTCATCACATGTGGACGGTGTTTAGACAACAAATACGGCCTCATCAACCAAAGCGATGATTGCAAGGTCATCCTCTCTTTTGCCAGTGTCCAGCTGAAGCGCTAAAACGCGTTAGCTCGTGTGCCATGACCCCTGGCCTGCATGTCCAATGTTGTGTCTGTCTTGACCCGCCCTGTTTTCACCCCTTTTTGGCGGCCATGTCGAGGTTTTTGCTCTCCCACCCCGCATGTTCCAGTCTCTCGGCTCTCTTCATCACCACGGCATCTGCCGTTACTCAGCAACCCAGTTGTCGTGTGCCGCCTTGACTTCCGCTTGAGCAAAAGCAATGCGTTTTATACAGAAAGAATTGATAACCATTGAGAAACCCTAGGCAGTTCAGTTTACGCCATCACAACCGGTGGAGAAAACTCGAAATTTCTTCCCCCTTTTTTTTTTTTTTTTTTTTTTTTTTCTTTCAAAACGAGCGCAAGGTTTGTCTCCTGCTCAATTTTAATTCTTCCTAGGCCTCAAGTCGCAGTGTCATGTTACCTGTTTCTCAGCGGTTGTGCTGCATCTGATCGATTTTAGAAACTTTACGGCCTTTCGTTTTTGATTCAGGTGTCTTGAAATTTTCAGCTTCATTTGACATGATGCATTGATAGATTTCGAATTTTTCTAGTCAATTATAAAAGGTCAACAAAGTTGCCGCTTGATGCGCTCAGCTCAGCCCAAAACCCTCCGTTTCGTAAATAGCTTTGTACAGCCGATCCTTCAGAATCTCGCGTGACGTGTAAGGTGGAAGCTTGAGTAGGTTCATGCAGGTTGCAGCCGACGGCAGACGCGAGGGATCCTGGCTGTTGGCAATGGCAATTCGCGGATGCATGGCTTGGAACCCCAGAATGGGCGGGCGTGGGCAACTTGTGATGAAGCGCAGCAGCTGCTCACGTGCATCGTTGTCCATCTCATGCACCACCGACCAGAAGAGTTGAATGGGCACATCATCAGCCCTGAAGCCGTTGTACACGACGTGGCGTCGAAACTCCTCCACATCAATCACTTGCTTCTCGCCTCGGATCAGCTTACGCAACTCGGCTGGGGCAAAGAGACGCAGCAGCGCAGCAGGTACCGCCTGTTCCAAGCCCTGTTGGAATGCAACAATTTGTTGGCGGGTACGCCGGCGCAGATAAAAATCGGCCATGTGGTAGACATAGCGAATGCGGTTCTCATTGGTCACGGCCACGTTTGCACCGTCTGGCACAAGATTGTAAAGGCGGTGTCCTGTCACCTCGGAGCCCGCGACTGTAAAGGTCAGATCAAGCTCAGATACGTCGCCAGCATAGTCCTTGACCTGCACCAGGTTTTGATAGAGCTCGGCGTCCAGGTCTCGCAGTTCGTTCAGCGAAACGCGCCCGCCCAGGATTTGGGTGAGGAAAAAGTTACAAAACGTCAAATCAACCAGCATCTCGGCCCGCAAAGCTCGTCCAACAATGGTACCCAAGAATTTGTAGTGCCGGTCTGCGTCCGGATCAAGCAGGGGCATATCCGGATTGGGGTACAACTCACGGGAGCTGGACTCCAGGAAAAACCCTCGGGTCGGATCAAAGCCCTCCCGACAGATCAGCTGCAAGAATTCACGGAAGAGGCCGCCACCATCCACGCCAGCTTCGGGTAAGCCGTCTTTGGTAATGGTCACCTGGATCTGCTCCTTGCCCGACATGGCACTCAGTGCCGAAAATGCATCCGCGTAAGGGGTTTCGCGGCTGATGCGGACCGGGTGACGTTCAAACACCGGTACCGTGTCCAAGCCCACCATGACCTGAAACAGGTGAGCTCGATCCAGGAAGGGTACCACAAAAGGCGTGTGCAACAAGACGTTGCCTGCTGTAGCATCCACCCCCGCGGGCACGTTTCGGCCATGGGAGGAGAGAAAGTCGAGCAGAGCGCGTGGGTTGAGAGCCTGCAGCGGCCCGCTGACGCGCGGCACAAGCCAAAGCTCGTCACCCATCCACGAAATACCATGTGTCCGCTGCTGTAGTTGCTTGAGCAGCGGGGCAACGACGTTTGTCAGAACTCGACTTGTTTGACCACTCAGGAGTGCCGAGACCGTGTAGCTCAGCACATTCTTGATGAGTTGCACAAAGGTGGTTCGCGTGTATACGCTTTCCAGGTAGGTACCAAGTTTATCATTGGGCACAATGGCCAGATCGTAGCCAGCGGCACGGAAAAAGATGTCAAGGACCGGGAGCAGTGCGTCATCGGAGCTGCCTGGGGAGGGGGCCAGCAGGTTCAGCACGCGCTGGGCTAGACTGGCCAAGAATTGGGGCTTACTGGCGAGCTGATGAAGCGAGCGCACCAGAATGGCCTCGGTGGGACAGAGCCGTAGTGCACCGTGAATCACGGCGGCAAACGCATCATACTGATCACAGTTGGCAGCAATCGCATCCAGACGCGTCACCTCATCCGCAGTGAGCAATGCATTGACAAGCGCCACGGCACTGGGGACAGTGCGTGTGCGCTTGGCTTCGTCCTCTGCGTCGCTCTCTGCCTCGGAATCACTATCGTCGTCACTGCTGCTGTCCGCCGCGCCTTCTGAGCGGGCTGGTCTTTGAGACTTGGGCTCAAGGACATCGCGGAGACCCAGCATGCGCATCAGGGCGCCAATGGTCGTCGCCAGCAAGGGCAAAATTTGTGCAGCATTGGCGAGTCCACCGTCTGCAACGAAGTACGTGAGGCTAATGAGTCACATCGCTTCCAGGAGGAGAGATGGGCACCCGAGGCTTGAACGATGGATTCACCTTGACAGCGGACAGACTTGAGGAGCAGCAAACCAAATGCAGCCAGTTTATTGGCGTCATTCAAGAGTTGCCACGGGCCCGTGGCCCTACACGCCACGCAAAGGCATACAGGGATTAAGTGAGCTTGACTGCTTGGAAGCAAGATCAGCAGCGTTTGTGGCAGAAATTGGTTACGTACGGTGGTGCCTGTGCAAACTGGCTAACCAACGTCTTGATCATGGCGTCGGTCAGAAGATCTGGCACTCTACGGCGTGAGGCAAATGCAAGCGTTGAGAGTTGCAAGCCCTCAAGTATTCATTTTTGCTTCGCACAATTTTTATGAAAAAAAAAAAAAAAAAAAATAATAATAATAATAAATAAGAAAACCAGACAGACACTGAGACGGGCAAAAACATACCTGGCTGTTTGACTCTCGGCATCGAAAAAGTCTAGGTAGAGACGAAGGTGGAGGTCCGACGAGCTAGGCAATGCACGGGCAGCCGTGAGAAAAGCGCAGGGTGAGGGGAGACGGGTGCAAATCCGTGTCGAAAGGCCTTGCAGAAAGGCCCTGGCAAGCTCGTCTGAATACCTGACGACCCGAAGCACAAGGCGAGCAATTTGTGCAAGCATTTGCTGCTGGCCTCCGGAGAGTGTGTGGTGGGATTTTACAAGTCGTTGTACGAGGGTGGTGGACTCGCTCGAGGACAAGGTGGCTTGATAACCCTGTTCCAGCTGTCCCGAGAGAAAAGCACCGTGAGATGTGCCGTACGAGGGATGTGCGCCACGACATCACCCAAGGTGCGTACCACAACATTGAGCCCCAAAACACAGGCCATGAGGAGTAAGGCATTGTTGCCCGTGGCTGCATGCCTGCCGTGAACAGGAAAACAGGTTAGCGACAAGAGGGCAGGCATCTTTGAGCTGGGGCTGGTGAGCAACATACTGATTGAGGAGAATAAGCGTGGCCTGAAAGAGGCGTTGACGAAAGACTATGGCCTGGTGGGGCGTATTTGCACAACAAAGTTATCACGGACAATTGAGTTTCGAGTCAGGGCAGGCAAAGACGACGGTCAATGGGGCACATGCACGCACTTCGATAGCTGGGCAGGTAGCGCCCGGGCCGAGGCCGCTTGTGGCAGCCTCGTGAAGCGGAGCAGCCTTTTGACACAAGAACGCCGCCACTTTGACGTAATCACTTGGTTCCGTGGGCGGCAGCAGCGTTGAGGGCAAGCCGGCCAGATCAACGACGCAAGCCAGCGAGCCCTATGGACAAACCCACACGCACATACATACGGCATGTAATGGTAAGTGGATGGATGGAAGGCGGGTCACGCTGCGAGGGTATCTGGCTTTCAAATGCCTAAAGAGCGGTTTGGCTCGCAGCGCGGCAAGCGCCGACTGCGCTGGTACGTACTGCTTGAAGGGACAGGAGGCACCGTTCGCGGCGACGGCGGGCCTACCGAGGTGGGGGGTGAATTTTGGTCTGAAGGCATGAGGTGGGGCCGCCAGGAGTTGGTGACACATACGTATTCTCGTCGGTCTTGGCGAGCACGCCACGCGCACTGCAGGGTAACTGCAGCTTCCTGCCGCCTTCGCTCCTCCTGGCAGCACGAGAAGCAGTTGTCGTGGTGAACTTGAGCTCGCGTGCGGCGTCGAGACACGGGCAGCGGTCGTTTCGTAAAAACACACGTACATGGCGTTGTTGGCGAGCAGCAGCAGCTTGGTGCATAATAGCACCACGCTCTTTCTGCAAGGAATTGGAAGGAGGTGGGGGTTTTGCACCCCAGGTGCCCGTTTGGAATGTGAGATGAGCTGCCACGTCAAACTGGCCGACATTTCATCCGAGCGTCAAGTCGTACCGTCCGGCGCGCGCCGCCCAGGGAAATGTTTTTCTGGCGCTTGGCTTTGCCGTCAAACATGTTGCTTGGTCTTTATGCATGATGCATGACATGTCAGTTGAGTTCAGGCCGGAGCAGGGCAGAGCAAACCCGGCTCGGGGCGGGTGTGCCGTGAGGCGTGAGACGCGCATCCACGTACCACAGAAACAGGCCAAAAAAAGCCCTCCACCTTGTTCAAAAGCACTCCGTCCAGCAGCCCACACGAGGAGCCGTGCAGAGGCAAACCGAGGCAGTCAAGACTGGCGTTTGGAATGGCGATAGCATTCAAAAAAGCAGGCGACCGCCTCCCCCCCGCGCGTCCCGCGCCGACCCTCAACCGCGACTACCGCTCGTCCAGTGAGAGACGACGCAGAGAGAGAGTGTGTGTGAGAGTTGAAGTGAGCGAGCTAAGAGAGATAGAGAAATGAGCAAAAAGATCACATACAAACGCAAAGCTAAAACCAGAGATGGTCAAGATATCAGAACCAAATCCAGAGAAGAGACACGGGCGCACAACATAAGTCACACAAAAATGATGACAACTTAAAAAGGATGACAATACTTTGCAAATTGTCATCATTTACAGGTATTGTCATCATTTCCACACACACACACACACACACACACACACACACACACACACGACGATGCGAGGACGCGGACGAGGGCGAGGGCGAGGTCGGAGTCGAGGCCGAAGTCGCGGGGGTCAAGGGGGTCGCGGGGTGCGGGGTCGGGGGTGGGGATCGGGTATGCAATGGGCAGCGGGGCAGCTAGGTCAACCTGCTTTCGTCATCTCCTTTGATAGCGGGACTGTTTCGCAGGTGAGCCCAGGTCTGGTACACATGAATTTGGGTCCGCGGCTGACATAGGTTTGGTGATTGTCGAACCGCAGGCGAGGCGTGGTGCGTGGCATCCCCCCATTGATGCGGATGGAAGCAGGCCAACTGCCTCAGCGACAGCCGTGCCAGCTGCACGTAACCAACATGCGACTGCCGGGCAGTCCGAGCCGTCGCTGTGCTTGTTCTTTACTCGGTGAGCGACACAAGTGTGCAAACCTCAGCCATGTTTTCAAGCCCTCAAGGCCGTGACTTGCGTCTCAGCACAAGCGCCTGCCTTGCGCAAATGCATCTATCACTGCTGTTTTTTTTTTTTTTTCTTCTTTTATGACCCCGGCTGTGCTTGTTCTGCTCTGGCTACTTGTCTTCATATTTACTGACATGCTGTGTGATTGATTTTTTTTTTTTTTGTATTCGATCGGACCTCGTGTTCACCTGATGAACACAGCCTGGGCAAATGTCGAGCTGGTGCCAATTGCCCTTTTCGCCACGACAAGGCAAAGCTGGCCCTGTGCCCACGCTATCTGACCGACCAGTGTGATGGTCGGTGTGATTTATCCCACCAGATTGTTCCCGGGAATCAGCCGCATTGCCGCTTTCATCAAGATGGCGTCTGCTCGCGCCCCAACTGCCGCTATGCCCATGTGCGAGTCGCCCCACAAGCTCCCTTCTGCCAGGTATGTTTTTTCGGGCCCGCACCGCCTTTGACAAAGGGATTGCAATGGTACTGTGGGTTCTGTTCCAAAGAGCGGCCCCATCTTGCATCTTCCTGAGACACCTTCTGCTGCTTGTGTCTTGTGCCTCAGGACTTTTTGGTAGGGTTTTGCGATCTCGGACATGCCTGTCGGCAGGTGCATGTGATTGCTTGTCAGGACTTTATCATCAGCGGCGCGTGTTCCTTTGGGTAAGCTTTCCCGCTTCTACCGACTGGCATGAGCCAGCAACTCTATCCTTGTTTTTGTCTGCGCGTCCTTTCCCTCTCCCCTGTTGCTCTTCTCCCTGGTCCCTCACACGTCTTTCCATTTCCATTTCCGTGATTCTGCGCTACAATGATTGAATGTGTAGCAAAACCTGTCGCTATCCCCATATCAAACTGTCCCGCGCCCGACGGCGCGCGCAGACACCCGAGAAAGTATCCCCGCTGGCGCAACAACATAATGATGCATATGCAGATCCAGGCAAAATGACACTTCCAATTTCCTGTGGCCCTGGCCCAGACATTTTACTGGAAGCAGCTCAACCTGAGATTGTCCACACCAATTCACAGAGCTCTCAAGACGCGCACACGACAGTACCCAGTGGTAATTCCAGGACAGAAGACAGTGGTGATTCTGGGACAGAAGACACTGGCTTCTCCTGGACCCCTGGGCTGCGCAGGGCAACATCCAAGCATGCCACTAGCCGGGCTGTGCTCGCCTATGCCAGGCTCCCTCGTCTCGCAACCCTTGCTGGTGTGTAAATGATGTGGACAATCCCCGCCGGTTTCTTCCTCTGTGAGGATCACTTTGCTTCAGTGTGCCTGTCAAAAGCGAACACGCATGAATGTGGAATCAACAGCACTTGTCTTGATTGCTGATACCGAAGCTCAAACATCGATTGTCGCGAACACACATCAAAAAAGCAAACGGACTTTCACAGTCGAAGAGCTCGAGGCCAATTTCTTTGTTTTTTTCCAAGCCCATACACACAGAGACGAGACCAAGAGGACGCACACACCCGACTCATCACCGGCCACGAAGTACGGGATGAAATTGCGAGCGTGCTCTGGTTTAAAAGGGGGTGGGGGTTGCCTGGAGCAAGCAGCGGATAACAAATCGAAGGTTGCAAATGCGGATGTTTCAGAGCATCATCACGCAAGCAAGTCATGAAAATCCGCGGCACTCGACAAACCATCACTCAAGTCAGGCAGATGATCCATACCACCCGACAAAACAATACTCAAGTCAGGCACAGTACCCGACAAATCATCACTCAAGTCAGGCAGATCATTCATACCACCCGACAAAACAATACTCAAGTCAGGCACAGTACCCGACAAATCATCACTCAAGTCAGGCAGAAGATCCATACCACCCGACAAAACAATACTCAAGTCAGGCACAGTACCCGACAAATCATCACTCAAGTCAGGCAGATCATTCATACCACCCGACAAAACAATACTCAAGTCAGGCACAGTACCCGACAAATCATCACTCAAGTCAGGCAGATCATTCATACCACCCGACAAAACAATACTCAAGTCAGGCACAGTACCCGACAAATCATCACTCAAGTCAGGCAGATCATTCATACCACCCGACAAAACAATACTCAAGTCAGGCACAGTACCCGACAAATCATCACTCAAGTCAGGCAGAAGATCCATACCACCCGACAAAACAATACTCAAGTCAGGCACAGTACCCGACAAATCATCACTCGAGTCGATCAGATCATCGACAGGACCCGGTCGACCAACACGTAAGTCAGGCATTGCAGCTTGCCGGTCATTCAGCAAGTTTGCATTCAGACCTGCTGGCGGAGCATCGGCGTCTGGGTTTGCAGCGCTGGTAGCGACATAAAAATCGACATCGTTGTTTTCAACACCAAATGCTGACTGTTGCAAGTCAACATCGGCTAGAAGGACAAACTCTTTAATGTTAAAATGTGTCAGATCGATGTCGGGAAGGTTTTCCGAAACGAGTACTTCATGAGACAAATTGGGTACGTCCTGCCACACCAAGGCAGAGCAGCGCCGGACAACGAAACCTCGGTCACCATGGGGCCTCAAGAGCAACCAGTGATATTGCAAGTGGTTGTTAGCCCAGTCGAGCTGCTCGCGAAGAACATCCCCTTCCCCTTGAGGGGCCAGATAGTGGTTGTTGATATCAAGTGCGCCTCGGAGATGCATTTTAATGTCATTGGCGCTCGCATATTCTGCAGCACAGCCCAAAAACATATCAAGACGGGATTAGCCAACAGCTGATGCCCAAGACTTCAAAAACACATGGCCTTACTTGCGATGATTCTCCACTGAGGCAGGCACAGATACATGTTCAGCATTCGTTGGCACAGCTAAAACATGAGTCGTGAGCACTTTGAAAAATCCTACAACTGAACAATGGTGCGTGCAACATACGCCTTGAGTGTCGCAATCGCATGGAGCCTCAGACTCGCGAAGGCAAGGGCAAGGCAAGTTGCCAGTTGCCAGCCGACGAATGCGCTGGAGAAAATTCAGACAGGCAGTCCGCAGGCCACTGTTGGTGTGGGTGCGGCCGTCAACCGGGCGGCCGTGCTGTTCGCCTTGAAGGCTGATGGTTTCATGGGGAAGAGGTTCAAATGCGCTTGGCAAGAGGCTGAACGGGCCAAGCGAAAGCTGATCATTTTTCTCGAGCCACACGTTGTCAAGCAACTTCAAACGCCGCAGAGCACCACTGCCTTGGCCTATCAAATTTGTAAGTCATCGGTGCGTGACGTCAGCTCGGACACGGCAGAACGAGATGGGCGGGTATTGGACGAGCGGGAAAGAGGAAATTTTTTTGGCGGAGAGGAACAAGAAAAGACGCACTCGGACCAGTGGCAACGAGGAGCACGGTCAGAAGCGCTTGCATCTGCTGCTCGCTCAAGTCATGGATCGATTGATAAGGCATGGTTGTCGGTCTTGAAGAAGGTGGGCAGAAAGGGCAAGATGAAGATATGGTCGTCAGTAAGCAGCTTGTTCTCGGTGAGCGAGGCTGGACAGACTTGAAGAGCTTGGTCCAATGTTCACGGGAACAAGAAAAATGCCACTTGGAGCCAGGGCGGAAACAAGGAGGGTAAAGCCGACGAGGGGCGATGGGCGAGGAAAGGCAGTGTGGTGTAGATGGTGGGGAGCGGGGCGACGAGACTTGTGTTACAATGCAAACAGGGGAACTGGCATCAAAGGGAAGCGCTGCGTAGGCGCGAGAGAAGCAAAAAAAAGGCAGGGAGAGTGATGGATCGTGCTCAGTCGGTTTGAGGGTAAGGGTGGGTAGCTCAGAAAAAAAAATGTAAATGTCGCCGCTCCACCGTCAGGTCGATTGGCACGGTTTGACTGAAGACGAGTCTGCAAACCAAATGTCGCCCCGATCCACCGTCAGGTCGATGAGCGCAGGTTGGTTGCAGTCAAGTTAACAAACCAAATGTCGCCCCGCTCCACCGTCAGGTCTTTCCGCGCAGGTTAGTTGCAGCCAAGTTAACGAACCAAATGTCTCCCTGAGCGAGCAACACCAAGACGTTCAGAGGGAGCTTCAGCGTCAGGTCAACATTAAACTGTGTTAACGTTCAAGCTGACCGGACTGCTTTTTTAGATTATTGCTTGTAAGACTGTTTTTGTCTACGACACATGTCAATGTCAGAAAAGTTTGAGCGCGCAGAGTGCGGTGGATTGATTATTGCGGCGCGAGTGCTCATGCTCTCTGCCTGGGGGTGGCAAAGAAACAAGACGCGGAAACCAATTGGTGCTGTGTGGCTTCCCCTCTTATCCATCGATTGCCAAGGACCCTGCCATCCAGATGTGGCGTAGAAGGTTTGATCAGCTATAGCCACCAGCGCCAGTGGACCTCAAGCGATCGAGCGACCGAGCGACCGAGCGAGAGAGAAAAAAAAACGGCTGGCCGTTTAGGCTGAACCGTCGAGCAAGCGCAGCTGCCAAGAGTTGCCTGTACCTGCTATTCACGAGGCTACCGAGGCCAAACAAAGTCTTCTCAGTCCCTCGCAGCAGTAGCCAGTTCTATCTTGCACCCTCCCGGTGCATCAACACGTCTGGTTCGTTTAAAATCGTCTGACAAGCGTGACTTTCCATTGAAGGAAACGTCTGACATCAGCCGCATCCATAACCTTTAACACAAGCGCCAGCGAATTTTCTCGTTTGTAAGGTGTGTGACTTCCTTCCAAACCAAAACGAGATTAACGTCTGACAATTATCTTTGTGTTGACAATTGGTGTTGCATAAATGTGTTGTTGCAGTGGCACAAAAATAAACTAGCCGTTACGCGAACTCGGCTCGGGCAAGCATGGCCGCTCCGTCGGAGACTAGTGGTCGTGCTGCTGCTGCTGCTGCTGCTGCTGCTGCTGCTGCGAAGGGAGGTTCGGGCTCAAAGGCCGTTTTGGCCTCAGCCCGTGCGGCGCTCTTGGCTCACCAGGCTGAGCGGGCAGCCCAGCTCTTTCTCACGTACATTGGTCAGGTGCCTACCGCAATTCAGGTACGAGAACAATATTATTTCAATCGCCCCCCAAGGATGCAGAGGGGGTCGGCCTCACCATGGTGGTCAATGAACCCCTAACCCTGTAGGAACCTGATCTTGCTCTGGAGGCTGCCACTGCCGTGCGTACGTACGCCTGGGAGCTCTTGGACACAGATCGAGCCGCTAGTGCATGCTGGATATACGACAATGCGCTGCGCATGCTGCCCGTTCCCGCTGCTGTCTGTGATGCTGCACACGTGTACATGGCCGCGGCACGTCCGCGCGCCGCCTTTGCTGCCCTGCACGCAGCACTGCATCGACCAGCCACCCGAGCTGAGCGCCATCAACTCGAAGCCACGCTTGATTATCTGCGCTCTCGGGCGATTGACCGCTGGCACTTTCCCATGGTAAACGATACCCTGCGGAACCGGCGATATCAGCAGGCCATTCGCCGGGCCATTGAGCGCTTCAGAGCACATTACGGCCGTGCACCCGTCGTCTTAGACATTGGTGCTGGTACAGGCTTGTTGAGTCTCTATGCCTCTGTTGCTGGCGCGCAGCACGTCTTTGCGTGCGAAATGAACGTCCTTCTTGCCGATGTGGCTCGCCAGTGTGTCGCTCGCCACCAACGCTCCCACTGTATCACCGTTCTTGAATGCCACTCAACTACGCTGCAACGAGGCATGCCCGTGCCGCTTTCAGCGTTGCCGCAGCAAGCCACCGCTGCACCGCACTCCCAGACACTGATCCCTGCTTCGGGCTTTGATCTCATTCTCACCGAGCTGATGGATGCTGGCCTGCTCGGCGAGCAGATAGTACCCGTGCTCGACCATGCACGGAATCATCTTGCGGCCCCGGGCTGTATGTTCATCCCCGAAGCGGCCTGCTTGGGCTTGACTCTTGTGCATGATCCTGTCACCAGCCGGCGTTGCCATGCACCGCCCCTACCGGCGCCCACCGCTATTGTCCCCACCCTTGCGGACAGCTACTCGTGCGTGCGTTGGGACTGGTTCGAGAGTCCCCACGTCCGACACGACTGCTCTTTTATCTGGCCTGATTATGAACTTGATTTAACACGAGTGCAACCCCGGATAGACTTGCGCGTGACTCTTCCCACCACTCACTTGGACGGCGATTCACGTGCCTACTTTGTTGCCCTAACTTGGCAAGTGCGGCTGTGCGGCGCTGCCGGCGACAAGCCGGCACTTTGGCTGGCAGCGAGCCCCCACCCCCTCCCAGGTGCACCACACGAGGCATCACCTTCACTTTGCTGGGACGTGGCCTACTATCCACTAGTACCTTCAGGGTCCCGACTTGCTCCTCAGGACGCGCATACCAGCTCAACACCGAGCGCGCCACACACAAATTCGAGCCAGGGTGCGCCCATCGAGCTAGACGTGGCCATTCTGCCCAGTCAAGTTGCAATCAATTGGCGCATCTCCCAGCAAGCAGCACGCCCACTGGCTGCCACCCCACAAATACCCATGGGTGAACATGATCTGCTCGCTCTCAACGATCAAGCTTACCAAGACTGGATGAGCCGTGACGTGCAGCGTGCTTTGATACGGGCATCAGGTGATGCGCCGCCCCCCGGCCTTTTGGCAAGCCAACTCGCAGAGAGAACTGTCGTTTTAGCTGTGGCCATTGTCTGGGATGGGCAAAGCACCTGGCCACTCCACGCTCGCCAACAGTGGCTCTCTCAGCGGCCCGCGCACGCCCACGTTGTTTGGCACCTGCTGCCTTTGGCTGAGACCGAGGTGGGGATGTGCGTTATTGCCGCCAGCGAAGCCTGGGCTGACTTTCATGTCCACGCACCAAGCACTGCCGCTTCGGCGGGAACTCTTGATGTAGCATGGGATCTCGTGGCTGCCGATGTGTGGGAATTGTCTGGCCAGGTACGCACTGAAGCCTTGCACCTGGTACAGCAGCTGCAAGCCATGTGTCCCCGGGTCGCCGTAGTCCCGGCAGCAGTTCATCTGGATCTGCAGCCCGTGCCTCGAGCTGTGTGGGCTCACTGGAACGAGGTGCGCTTGGAGGAGGCAGAACTGCTGGACGTGCGGCAGCTCAATGCTTACGGACTGCCCGAGGTTGCAGATGAGGCGCCGGCACTGTTGTGGCGAGCTGCGCACCACACCTGCACGCTCGCTCTCAGTGAGGCAGCGACGCGCTCGCCACCAGAGTGGTGCTTCACCTTGCCGCCAGCTCTCCAGTTGGATGGACAAGCCTTGGCTTATCAGCTGCGTTTGGCCTCTGCGGCAGGCGAGCCAGACTTGAATCCGGCCGAGACGCTGCGACGCCTGGCCGTGTTGAGAGTGCCCAGTGCTGCGCGTGGCCTTGCCTTGTATGTTCGACCAATAGCCGGCTTGACCATCGAGGCTCAGCCTTAGAGAGCGCCCTTTTATCGACTCAAAGCATTTTATTCTTGAACGCCAGACCTTTTTTTTTCTCTTCTGATGTGCCCCTCTGTTGCCGTTGCGTGGGCGAAGGACATGATGTCAAGCCACAGGGGCTATGGCACACATGTTGAAGCGTTTGCAGCGATAGGGAAGGCTGTTGCACAGCACAATTTTGCACAAAAGGTAGACAATTGATCATCTGAAATGTGAAATGGATTTTGTAAGGAGGCTAACGCCCGGGAATATGACTGCGCGGCCAACCCACGATCGCCTCTTAATCCGACACGGGAGTCAGGCGAACAAAGACGGAGCTATGGCCAGCCACGTTCTTGTAAGTAATGGGGTCGGAGACATTGCTAGTCTCGCCGGTCCAAACATCCGTGGCCGTGAACTGGCCCGAAATGCCGAGCTCTGCAAAGGAGGCAGAGATGTCGGAGGTGGCGTTGAAGATGTTGATGAAGAGCACCGCCATTTCAGCTCCTGGCAGCGGCTTGCTCCAAACCTAAATGTGGGATGCAGTCCAGTCACCCAAAGTCCCTGGTGAGTCTTTAGGATGACCACACGCCAAAACCAAGATGCCGTTCAGTCTGAATCCCCTGTTTGTTTTCGTGTTACTTTGATGTCATAATTTCATGTGTGACCCTTCGTTTCCCTCTTTGCTCTTCGCTGGCAGTCACTGGTTGGCCTACCTGAGTCTTGGGGAAGACCTCGTTGGTGCCGGAGCTGCCACTGGCACCGTGCTTCGCAAAGCCAACAAACGTATCGCTGCTGTTTTTGACGAGTCGACCTGGCGAGCCAGCCCACTGCACAGGCGAGCATTGTAGAGCGCAAACATGCAAAAAAAGAATTCGTGAGGCCCGCGCCAACACGTCACGAGGCCGAATAAAAAAAAGGATTTGAGCGAGCCAGAGTAGAATGGGCACGGTCGTTGGCTTACGGCTTGGTTGATGGCAATGGCAGCTTTGTTGGTGATGATGGGATAGGCCAGCTCATAGAGCGTTTCGTTGGTGAGGTCAAAGCCCAGGGTCAGCGGGGCTGACGTGACGCACCAGGCGGAAAAGTGGGTGCGGGATTCTTCGAGGTCGAGGCCAATGAAAACCTCGAGCATGTCTGGGTAGGACCAGCAGCCAGGGCGAGAAAGAGGCTTGATCGGCACCTGGTAGATGGTTTGGAATTGCAGGTTGTACATGGTCGACTGCGGACAGTTTTAGCAGTGCGCGGCCGGGACAGGTTCATGAGCGGCGCAAGGCGGCAAGCTGATAGGCAGCATCACACAAGCTCGGCCGGATGGATCAAGAAAAACAAGCAGGCAGGCCCGGCCTTAAGAAGATCAATGGACAAGCGAATCATACCAGGAACTGTGGGGCAATGTCAGAGCTAATCCGATAGAGGTTGAAGCGGCAGTCAACCAGAGCGGAAGGATCGGGAGGGGACCAGCTTTCATGGTTATCACCTGCGAGCGGTCAGGCGTGGCGGATCAGCAAAATAGCGGCAGAGGACACACACACACACACACACACACACACACACACACACACACACGAAGTGTGTGGTGGATGGGCGCGCAGGTCAGTTGAAGCAGTGACGGACCGCAGTTTTCAAGGACCATGGCCCGACCGGTGGCATTCAAAGCATCGGACCACTAAGGATAGTGTTGTTGCGTAGGGTGCGTGGCTTGAGAAAGAGTGGCCGGTTGGCACGTGGGTTTTGGGGGGCTAGGGCGGAAAGATGGCCGCTTGGTCAGCGCGAGGCAAGAAACGCACCATGGAAATGTTGTGGGCGGGGCCACAGCCATCGACCTTGATGCTGTCAAAGTCGAATGCTGCGGTTGCGTTGGCGTCGTTGGCATAGTGGGGTGGCTTGCCGTGCTCGCCGCACCAGCAGTTGTTCTGGTACCTGACGACAAAGGGAAGCAGCGTACCCCGTGCGTGAGGGAAACAAGAACAGCATTCGTCTGTCAACAACGACGCCAGACCGAATTTACGGGCACTCGGGGCATGGCCAAGGTCACGAACCAGCCCATCTTGACGTTCATGCCGTGGGCTTGCTTGACCATGGCACCCATGTCAGGGAAGATCTGGGTGTTGATGATGGGGTTGCCGTTCTTGTCGTGAAAATCGTTGTTGTTGCACAATTGCCAGCCTATTAAAAGTCAGGTGGACCCAGCGTCCGGGAACAGACTACCGCGTGAGATCGGTGCGGAGCATGGCGCTGGACTCGTGTTGGAATGCACCACCAAGAAAAGACTTGGGATCCCCGCTTCAATCAAAAAAATCGAATCCCCACGGAATCAACAGCATGTACTCAAACACCAAATCGGGCAGGTGGCATGCACGCGCACCATCATCAATGCCAATGGTATCGTAGCCATAGGACAAGAGGGACGGCTTGCCATTGACCTCCGCCTGGATGCCCTTGACCTGAGCCAGGATCAGGCTCTGGTTGATGTTCAACTCAAATGCATTCCAGCTGCGCCAGCCCATGGGCGGGGTCACAGCCAATCCATTCCACGAGTCCTGCACTGCACCCGCCGATCCCGCCAAAACAGCCGCCACTGCCATCAAGGGCAGGGTATACTCCAAGACCCCCATCCTGCACGAACTCGCCGTCACTGCCACTGAGAGAGAGAAGGAGAGAGAGAAAATGCATCGTTCAGTGTGTAGAGAGGCGAGTCTAGTTTCGAGTTGGAGTGAGAGGTGGGGATCAACCGCGTGTTCGTAGCCAGAGAGACACTTTGACAACGAGGCTCAACCTTACTGATAACAAAGGCATATAAGAGGTTTTGATCACTCTCGTCCATTCATGTAGAGAGGACGACGTTTTACATTTGCAACCACAGAGACGGAGAGCAATCGAGGGACTCACCATGTTTTTGTTGTTGTTTTGTCGCCTTTGTATGTACAAATACAACTAAGAGGAGGGTGTTTAGAATAACACCTCCCAACGCTTCCAACCCTGCCAGTCTGCTCGAAGACTCAATTGACAAGTCTCCACCAAGACTGGGAGACCAGCTCTTGAGCACATGTCCCCGCGTGACTTGTGACGGCACAGAGAGAGACAGAGTGAGAGAGAGAGAGAGAGAGAGAGGGCGCGCGCGTCTTTTCGAGTCTGTGAGAGCCGCGAGGATGGCGACGGTCAGCTCGACCCAGCTGTCGAACAAACGGCATCCCATGCCGGATGAACGCCTGGAGGTAAGGCAATAAGATTGCATTCATTGGTGTTGATATCAGAGGCTAGAAGACTTTGTGGGCCAATACCGTGACAACCATCACGTGGCGTCGCACGGCGCACACACACACACGCACACACAACCCTCGCTCGGCAGCGTCGGCACTCGCTCGCTCTTCTCAAACACCCTTACCCCCCACCCCTCCTATCTGCCTTTACCTCAAACAGAAACTCAAGACGGCCACCGCACCCCATGTGGACTCGTTCAACTACATGGTCAAGCATGGCCTCGAGCAGGCCGTGGCCGACCTTGACCCCCTGACCTTTGTGGCCCAGAACAAAACCATCAGTTTGAGCATTGCCAAATGCCGCCTCGAGCAGCCCACCGTCAGTCGCAAAGAAGGCTTTTCCACTGCCAATGCCCTCTACCCTGCGGAATGCCGTCAACGGCGCGTCACATACAAGGGTGACTTTTATCTCACCGTCAACATTGAGTGAGTCGACAAACCCACTCCCTTCATTGCGCACTCGCACAAACACGCATGCATGCCGGCACTGCGCGTGCGCTCGTTCCTGCCGCCCCTTGGCACAGACTCATCGGCGCTTGCTCAAACCTCAGGGTCGAGGGCCAGCCCAATGCCTGGCAGGTCGAGCGCTACGTCGGGCAGCTTCCCATCATGATCATGTCCAACGCCTGTCGCCTCAATGGCCTCAGCCCTCGCGAACTTGTCATGAAGAAGGAAGAAGCTCAGGAGATGGGTGGCTACTTTATCATCAACGGCAACGAAAAAATTGTTCGCATGCTCCTCATGCCTCGCCGCAACCACGTACGCCACCCTGCTGCATCCTGCTAGCCGTTGCACCCCAGCCAGCCGCCCTCCGCGAGTCACCCTCACAACTGGATTTTGGATTCTGAATTCGCGCGCGCGTAGCCCATCTGCCTTGATCGCCCGTCCTACGTCAATCGTGGCCCCGGCTACTCCTCGTATGGTGTCCAGATGCGCTGTGTTCGCCCAGACCAATCGGCACAGACCGTGGTCGTCCATTACAAGAATGATGGTACCTGCACCCTCGGCTTTTCATACCGCAAGCAACAGTATCTGATCCCGGCCATCCTCCTACTTCGTGCCCTATCGGGCGTCTCGGACCGCCAAATCTTCATGGATATCGTTCGCGGTGACATGAGCAACTCTTTCCTGGTGGAACGCGTTGAAATCATGCTTCGCCAGTACACCCGCGAGCGTTTGTTCTCGCAACAGGCCTGCCTTGCCTATCTTGGCAACCTTTTCAAGGTTCGCACATGCCATTGATTTGCATACTCGACCCGGTTTGCACACCGTCTTTACTCACTGCCTTGTCCCGCACAGGTCATCCTCAATCTGCACCCTGAGACCTCAGATGTGGAGGCCGCTCACATTCTCTTCAAACGCGTCTTGCTCGTTCATATTGCCCCCAATGACTTTCAAGCCAAGTACCGCGTCCTTGTCGGCCTCATCCGACGAGTGTACAGCCTGGCTGCTGGCAGTACCCAGCCTGACAACGCTGACTCGCAGATGCTGCAGGAACTGCTCCTGCCCGGCCACATCTACTGCGCCTTTGTCAAGGAACAAATGAGCGAATACCTGGTGGCCATGCAGAAATTGGTGCAGACTGACTTGCGCATGGGCAAAACTGTGGACGTGAGCAACACCAACTATTTGCAGACCGACGTCATGCGTCGCTGCCCAGACATTGGAAGCAAGCTCGAGTACTTTATGAGCACGGGCAACCTCAACTCGCCCACGGCCCTTGATCAGATGCAGGTCACCGGCTTTACCATTGTTGCGGACAAGCTCAACTTTCTCCGCTACCTGTCTCATTTTCGCTGCGTGCATCGTGGTGCCTACTTCTCGCAAATGAAGACCACGGCCGTCCGCAAGCTGCTCCCGGAGGCTTGGGGCTTTCTTTGCCCCGTCCACACTCCCGATGGTGCCCCTTGCGGTCTCCTCAATCACTTGGCTCGCCACTGTCTGCCCCCGACCGAGCCCGTGGACATCAGCTCCCTGCCCCCCACCCTTCTGGGCTTGGGCATGATTGCTGTTAGCGAGCAACCACACTTTCACTGCCTGGACGTGCTCCTGGACGGCCATCTTGTTGGCTTTCTCGCTCTCGAGCAAGCTCCCAAGGTTGGTGATAATCAGAATTTTTTGCTTATTTGTTTTGTGTTTGTTTTTTCCTTCTTCTTTTTCTTCTACTGTTCTTCTCATTTGCACACGTGCTTGTGCGCGCCCATCAATGCCTCAAATCACTCTCCCCGCTTATAGTTTGCCGAGCAGCTCCGTATTTTGAAGATTCGCGACGATGAGCGGGTACCCAACACTCTGGAGATTGCCTACGTTGCCCCGCGCGCCGCTGGCCAATTTCCAGGTGGGTGCACAACGTGGATTGTGCAATTGATTGCTTTGACAATGGGCCGTCCAGCTCAAGAGCTACCCGGCGTCACATCCAGGGCCTCCACCATTTTTATTTCTCCTAGCTTGCGTACACTCACTTGCATGGGCTATGTGTGTACATGCCATAGGCTTGTACCTGTTCAGCACGCCCGCGCGCCTGCTGCGGCCTGTGCGCAACCTGCGGATGAAGAGCACCGAGTTTGTCGGCTCGTTTGAGCAGGTCTACCTCAATGTGGCCGTGGACCCCAAGGAGTTTGTGTCTGGCGAGACGACGCACATGGAGCTTACCAAGCATGGCTTTCTCAGCATCGTGGCCAGTTTCACGCCCTTTTCCGGTTCGCACCCTCGACTCTGCTTGCGTCTTTGCGTCCTCTTCCCAGATTGCTGTTAGGTTTCGATCTGCCTGACTCACAATGAATGCTCTCTGTGTTGTGTCCCCTCCTAAGATTTCAACCAGTCACCTCGTAACATGTACCAGTGCCAGATGGGCAAGCAGACCATGGGTGTCCCTGGTCAAGCTATCAAGTACCGCGCTGACAACAAGTTATACTCACTCAACAGCGGTCAAACACCTTTGGTACGGCCGCGTGCCTACAATGAGTATGGCGTGGACAACTTTCCCGTGGGCAACAACGCCATCGTTTGCGTCATTGCGTACACGGTAGGTCTTCCTACGAGTTGTGGGATCAAGTGGCAACCCGTTGAATGAGCACACCTTGATTGTGATCCAATGCCTGATGTGTGTCCTCTCGCTTTGACAGGGCTATGATATGGAAGATGCCATGATCTTGAACAAAGGATCAGTGGAGCGTGGTTTCATGCATGCGCGCGTGCTGGCAACCAAGGTCATTGATCTCACGGAAAAAACCAAATCGCGAGTCTGCCACTACTATTTTGGTGTCTTGCCCAAGGATCGCTCTGCCAATCTCAAGATGGAGAAGCTTGATGCCGATGGGCTCCCGCGCGTTGGGGCGCACATCAAGGAAGGCGATGCTCTCTACTCCTACATTGATGGCTCAACCAACGAGTCGCGAACGGAAATTTACCGCGGCGAACCTGCCATCATTGATCGCGTAAGTGTTTTTTTTTTTTTTTTCCCTTGCACAGTCGGACGTGACCACCCTTCCTTCTTTTCTTTTTTCTGTTTCTGTTTCTGTTTCTGTTTCTTTTCTTTTCCTTCCTCGACTCACCTCCACGTGGTGATTTTGCAGGTCACAATTCTGGGCGGCACCAGCATGCGCGGCTCTGTCAAGGGCCCGCAGAAGGTCACCATTCGCCTCAGCATCAACCGCAACCCTATCATCGGTGACAAGTTTGCCTCCCGCCACGGACAAAAGGGTATTCTTTCGCAGTTGTGGCCCACCGCAGACATGCCCTTCAGCGAGTCTGGCATCATTCCCGACATTCTCTTCAATCCCCACGGTTTCCCTTCGCGCATGACCATCGGCATGCTCATTGAGAGCATGGCTGGCAAGTCGGCTGCCTTGCACGGCGTGGCGCACGATGCCACGCCTTTTATGTTCAACGAGGTCAGGAGTAGGCTCCCGCTCCTAGCTTGGCATGGAGAAAACAGTGGCTTGGTGGTTCAAAAATGGCTTTGATCTTGTCCGTGCTCACATTGTCGATCCTTCCCTTTGAACGGCGTGGTTAGAATGAGCGTGCTGTCGATTACTTTGGTGAGCAGCTGCGGACGGCCGGGTATAACTATCACGGCCACGAGCGCATGTACTCGGGCATCACGGGCGAGGAATTTGAGGTGGACATTTTCATCGGTAAGCAGCATGTCTTCCGAGTGTGCCTGCCCCGTCATCCAAGGTCTTTTAACTTACATCATCGATTCTCTTGCGTTGCGTCACCCACTCGCAGGCAATGTGTTCTATCAGCGCCTGCGTCACATGGTGTCTGACAAGTTCCAGGTGCGAACGCAAGGTCCCGTGAACAGCCTGACGCGGCAGCCCGTCAAGGGTCGCAAGAAGAACGGTGGCATTCGTTTCGGCGAGATGGAGCGTGATGCTTTGCTGGGCCACGGCACCGCCTTCTTGCTTCAAGATCGCCTCTTCAACTGCTCTGACCGCTCAGAGGTATGTCACCAACGCACGATCGATGGGCCGTCCTGGTCTTTCTGCTTGGGTGTTCTCTCACTTGGCTCTTTTTGGCTCTTTTTAGGTGGATGTGTGCCGGAAATGTGGCAGCCTTTTGTCCCCGTATTCATCGGAAAAGACGGCGGCCAATCGTATTCGTGTGCTGCGCTGCCGTGGTTGCAGTGACGGCGGCGAGGTGGTTCGGGTTAACCTTCCCTACGTGTTTCGGTATTTGACAGCTGAGCTGTCGGCCATGAACATTCGCCTCAGTCTGGATGTAGCGCCCATTGTCGCATAGACTTGACAGGCAGGGATGAGGAGTGCTAGAGTTATTCTTGCGTTTCTGTTACGTTCTCTTTGTTGATTTGTAGCCATCGCGGTCTTTCTGTTGTTTTTGTGTTTTTGGTGCCTTTTGAACAGGCAAGGCCGGCTTGGGGGTTGAGATGGTAACCTGCCAGGATCCTTGTCAACCTGGCTTTTCTTTTGATTGTTGTTTTTGCAAAGCAGGGTGAAATGAGCCCCTCATGTGCTTGCTGGTAATCTTACAACGTCGCTTCGCGGCTCGGTAAAACCCTTTTGTGTCAAAATGAATTGACCGGCTCGTCTGCGCTCGCAAGTGAATGAATATGTGAGAAAAGTTGATTATTATGATTTCAAAATACTTGACGCAGATGATAAAAGATCTCATCATAGGAACATGTCGGTCAGGCGATGGGGGCACCGTGCCCTCCAGCTGGCGCCCAAAAGGCAACCTTTGCTTTGAGAGGAAGCGCCAGCTCACATCAAATCCGGGTCTCGTCCTGAGAAGGCCAGGCCGTGCCCTGGACACAAAGATGGCTAAGCTCTGCACCCAGCTGCGCAGCCGTAGGTCGCGCTCCTGGTTGATTGTGCCAGCACTGCTGGAGGAGCCTACGCGACAGCTCGGCCAATGCAGGAATGGCATGTCAGTATAGGGGTAGATGAACGAACCCACTGCCACCTGGCAAAAGCTAGGACGCAGGAATCGCACCTTGTCAAAGGGGGAGCCAGGTCTTGAGGCAATCTCAGACGGTGACCCCGATCTAGGAAGAGACGCAGTTGGAGAGGGTCTGTGTCTGCATATGGAACTTGACCGGTCAAAACCTCGAACGCAAGTACACCAAAAGCCCTACACGCCGTCAGCAAAAAGACAACACGTGTGATGATGACCAAAAGGAGCTCTTGCGCGCCGTGGACCGATGAGGGCCTGCAGGGAGCGCATCGTACCAGACATCGCTCGCAAGAGTATGCGGCTTGCCGTTGAGGCCCTCTAGGCTCATCCAACGAAATGGCAAGTCGCCGTTGGGCTGCGGCCGATAGTAATCTTCTTCAGTCTTTAAGCGGCGAGATACTAGGTGGAGAAACAAAAAGGAAAAAAAAAAAAAAAGCTGGTGTGAGTTTGCACGCGTCGCATGGAGGGCTGCACAACGCACGCTTTGATGTTCAAGGATATGGACTGAAGGCGCGTACAGCCAAAATCAGAGAGCTTGCAGACGTCCTCGGACACCAACAAGGCGTTGCGTGCTGCCAGATCGCGGTGAATCATTGGTCGTTGATGCAGGTAGGCCAAGGCCGATGCCAGCTACACAAAGCAGCCGCATGGGTGAGAACTTTCTTCAAGTCATAGGCAAAGTCAACCCTGTTCAGCCCACCCCCAGAAGTGGATTAAGGCACTAAGAGCCAGTACCTCCCCGCTGCCCTGGTGCTAAGGATGAGAGCGGTATCCGATAAGAGCAGGAAAACTCACCTGGCAGAGCCAACTGAGGCGCTGGGCCTGCGGAGTACCTGAACCGGGGCCGTCGGGAGCTCGTAAATACTCGCGCAGTGGACCCAAGGGCGCGAGCTCAAGCACCATGGCCAGGCGTTGTTCCACAAGGGTGCAACCGTAAATGGCAATGATGTTTGGATGCTCCAATGTGTGAAGCAGCAAGGCCTCGCGCAGGACGGCGTCAGTCTGTGTCCCAAAGCACGATGGCCCCACAGGCAGCATGCATGTTGGTTTGTAAGACAATCCATGTGAAAGAGTCCCGACAACTTCTTGGTTGAGCCGATTCCACCTGGAGCCCGGAGCTTGACGTACCTGATTCTTGCTCTGGATCAAGTGTGCAATCTTGATGGCCACCTGCGTGGGCACCATTGCTCCACATGAAGATGCCTGAGGGTCAAGGTCAAAGCCAAGGTCATTCATGCAAACCGGTGGGACTGATGCTGGGATTTGCAAACCCCAGAGGACGACGAATGCATGCATCAAACGCCGAGTGGATTTGCCATCTCTTCAGTGGAGCGCTTACCAACCTGCACAACGCGCCCAAAATTACCGCTACCCAGCTCGTTGCCCAAAATAAAGTTGTTGCTACGAGAACGTTTCCGCGGGCGCTAAGATGAGCTTGCTGTCGGGAGAAGAAGAAGGAGATGCAACCCGGACGGGAAGGCTGCCAAAAGAAATATCCACGGCCAAGTGCGCCAGTGCCTTACCTTGGGAGAAAAACCAGGCGTTTGCTATCGGCACCAAAGTCGAGGGCCATGGCGGCCAAAACATCCTCAACGTCGCGTTGCAAGGCAGATTGACGCCATTGACGACGTCGGTGACGCAGCACGAGGAGAGCGAGTAGGCTTCCGGCCACCAAGACCACCACGCTAGCCGCAATGGCGGCCACGATGACCCCGGCTTGGTGCGTTGAGGAGGGAGAGAGGGTCAATCCGGGCTCGGTGGTGAGGTGATGCGGCACGGAACTAGAAGCAGTGACGGCCGGGGAGAGAGTGCTTTGATCCCCCATGTTGATGGCGACATTAAGCACGAGGGTTAGATTGTCGTCTGTTGTGAGGGTGACGGTGCCCTGGGTGGAATTGCTCAAAGCAAACATGACCTGCATGCCTGCGCGATCAGAGCTCTCCGTGACAAGCCCCGAGGAGAGGACTTGGAGGATTTCACGAGTGGGGTAGAAGATGGAATCATCAAAGCACCGTTCAAAGGGTAGCTCGGCGGTTAGGTCGGGCAGCATGAGAACGATGCCACGGAGAGAGGAGATGTTGAAGATGGTGCCGGAACATGGCTGAAAGAGTGCAACGGCCAGATCTGATGAACTCGTGGGGACGCGAACCATCATGTCACAAATATGTTCGTCCCAGCCATTGGCGCACTGGGGAATGCCATCGCAAATTTGATCGGGGCTGGCGAGTGCGGTGAGATTGAGAGAACCGAGCACGGGTCCGTCGGGATCGTATTCAGGGCACTGGATGGTGGTGACACGAGTTCCCACGACACAAGCGCCAGAGCAGTTGACGCGGCCACAATCTCCAGGAATGGGGGCAAGGACGCAATCACAGTTTGCAGTGGTCGGGAAGTTCAGGGTGTATTCGGGCCCGCACGTCTTGGGAAACGTGGCGGCAAAGGTGTTGGGCCGGATCGTCTCCAGGGGGTTGCCTTGAAGGTATATGGCACGCATGTGTGGAATCATGTTGGGAATGATGGCAGAGTTGAGGTAGCTGATGGTATTGAAGCTTAGGTCCAGAACCTCCAAAGCACGTAGGCTGCGCATGGAGAAGACTGTGAGCCAGGAATGAGAGAGGTTGAGGTAGCGCATGTAGGGCACGCTCTGAAACCCCTCGCCCAGGCTTTGTATCTCTTGGCAGGGCAGGTGAACATGTTCAATGTCGGCGGAGAGGATTTGCGGCAGGACGCGAAGAGCTGGTGGCTGTGTGTTTGCACAGCGGTCGCAGACGAGGCTGCCGCCCGCGGTGGTAGAGTTGCCGGGCGTGTAGGTGCAGTTTTGTGCCCTATATGGGGGGCACATGTCTTGGCTCGTTAGGTCTGTGGGCCAGACCCAATGGCCGTCAAAGCACTCCAAGATTGGGGAGGCCATGGCTCCGTCGGTTAGGCAGGTGCTGTTGCACACGTGGCCATGCGCGTAGGCGTACAGCAGGGTACCCTGGCACGAAGTGCGACCCTGGAGCGAGTTGGTAAACAGCAAACGCCCCTCACATGGCCGACAATCACCCGGAACGGCACACCGCCGAGCCCCACCAACCCTTGGCACGCACGCCACGGTCAGCAGGAGCAAGGTCCAAAGCCATCTCCCACCCACCACTGCCCGCATCACCCCAGCGCTTGCGGCGGGCACCATGTCAGGTCGCAACACCCGACGACCAAGATCTGAGCTCTCTACCCGCAACAAGAACACACCGTCGTGAGCGACCAGAAGGCCCCTGCGATACCCAACACCGCCCCTTCAACCCCACACCCACAAGCCACCCTAGCCCCAACAACAAGACTCACCAAGAGCCCGAGGCGCAACGGAGAACAGGAAGGGCCGCTGCCCTTTTTTTTTATTGTACCCCACGTACCGTCCACCAGCTCAATGTGCATGTGTGTGTGTGTGTCAACAAATACACACACAACCCCCTCTCTCTCTCTCTAAATCTCTCTCTCTCTCTAAATCTCTCTAAATCTCTCTAAATCTAAATCTCTCTCTCTCTCTCTAAATCTCTCTCTCTCTCTAAATCTCTCTCTCTCTCTCTAAATCTCTCTCTAAATCTCTCTAAATCTCTCACTCTCTAAATCTTTCTAAATCTCTCTCTAAATCTCTCTCTCTCTAAATCTCTCTCTCTCTAAATCTCTCGAAATCTCTCTAAATCTCTCGAAATCTCTCTCTCTCTCTCTCTCTCTCTTGCAATCATCAAGAGTGAGAACAAGTCCTTCTTCGCTTTATGGACATCACATCATGTCAATCCATCACATCGTATGAAGTAGCCCATAGATAGCACCACCCGCCCGAGGGGAAGGTTGCGACGGAGTGGTCGGTCGGCCAAGAGGTGCGTTGTTCTCATCCCGTGAGGGGCGAGGTTTTGGGATGAGGCTTTTGTAATCGTCCGGGGCAAACCCAGACGCACGCCAACGGATCGCCTCGGAATTTGTTGATAGCATCCATTGACCTCTGTGAAAAAAAAAAAGCTTCTAAGGCTATCAGAAGTGCGAGGCCGGTCGGTGAGTGGTGATAAGCATGCCTGTCAAATTTCAAGTCAATTCATCCTGGAACCGCAGGCTCCACTCCCAGAGCTGTCCGGGGATTCATCGGGGTATGCATAGACATCCACAAGCTCGATCTCGCCATCTTTTGCTAGAGCGAGGTCTCGGTCGAGCCATCCCCTGTGAAGGTCGGCGCCGTCTGAGATTTTCAAAAGACGCAATACGCATGGCAAGATGAGCGTCGCCGAGGAAAGCACAACGCAACGGGGCAACTTTCCACTTGAAACAGGTATGCCTACCCAGGCCAGTGCGGGGCCCGCAACGAAGAGTTGGAGCAGATTCTCAAAACTCGGCCGGGATGCCGCATTGAGTTGCAAGCATCGAGTCATGATTCTAAGCCAAGGCGGTCACGGTGAGAGTGGTTTTACTTTCATCCCAAATCAGAGTCGAAGGGGCATGCGTGACACGAACTGTTGGACGAGTCGTGGCGCTTGCGGGGGCAGCGGAAGGGTGTCGCCCGCCTTTAGACGAACGATGATCGTCGCTATCCAAACATTGGGCGGGTCGGTGAGTCCAAGACACGGGTTGGCATTTAAAATGTCCCCGCACGCAGACTGCATTACACACCGACATCACAGCCCGCCCATGGCACGGCTCCTTGCGTGGCCAGCTCCCAAGCCAAAACGCCATATGACCATACATCAGACTGCTCCGAATAGCGCCGCTCTACCAAGCACTCGAGCGCCATCCACCTACCGAGTATGTGACTTGAGCACCGGACCATGTCCGTCAACAAGCTGCAACCAAACTGCGCCAAGTCTTCAAACATACCGAAACGGCATATCCTCATCTGAGACGCTCTTGTAATAATCAGAGCTCGGCAAGACCCGTGATACTGCAACCCAGGCACCGCACGATCAATGCACATACACGCGCGCACACACGTGCGCACACACACACACACACACACACACACACAGCTTGACGTTTGACCAAGCATTGCTTGCGACAACTCACGTCCGAAATCAGCCAGTTTGCAGACCAGCGGCATGAGTGAGGTGACCAGCACGTTGCGGGCTGCCACATCGCGATGAATCACGCCACACTGTGCCAAATGTGTCAGAGCCTCGGCCATCTGCAAGAACCGCGGAGAAGCAGAGATAATATGAATAACAGAGATAGTGAAAAAAAAAAAAAAAAAAAAAAAAAAAAAAAAAAAAAAAAAAAAACTCGTGGCCATTCCGCTGCCTAAATGGCCGGTCCGAGGAAAAGACAAAGCCAATCGTTTCCAAGGTACCTGAAGAAGGGCAATTTGGATGTTCGTGGGGCTCAATGGTTGACTTCGGACACGATCGCGCAAGTTGCCATGAGGTGCCCACTCCAACACTGCCCCCAAATGCGACTGTCCTCGCGATTCATCACTGAGGAAAGTGGCACACATATTAACAATGTTGGCTGAGCTTCTCCCGCAACGCACATGCACCACGCGTGTTATTTATTGCTGCGTCAGCGACTGGCGACGGTCAACACGTACGGGGAGAGGGAAACACCGTAGAGGCTGATGATGTGTTGATTGCCCTTGAAGTTCTGCAGCAGCATGATCTCACGGAGCCAGGACAAGATCTATGCAGCAATCAATCGCCAAACCATCCTCGATCACCACGACATGCCGCCACAACGATAAAACAAGCAGGGATGCACATTGTACGCGAGCAGACGTCACGCTGATGAACCTTACCGTGACGCTGCCCTCGGCACACTGCTTAAGGGCCGCCGGCTGGGGGCCCGAGCCCATGTCCAGCATGACTTGATGCACAACGCTAAAGTGGCCACGGCCGACGACACGCTGGATGGCAAGATCCTCCTCATCGATGAGCTCCAGCGGAGTCGGGTTGAGCTGTGGATAGGCTTCGTGGAAATCCCGACGAGCAGCTTGCATGAGGAGAAGCCACTGCTCCTCCATCTCGCGATGCTGGCCCTGCCGTCGACGACGAGCTGCCCAGATCTGCCAAGACACGCCCATCAGCAACAGCAAGAGCACTGAGGTAGACATGGCGGCCAGCAAGACGGTCGAGGCGCCCGATGATGAAGCAGTGCTGGTCGGCAAATTGGTGGTAGAGGACACTGGGGTATGGGTAGACATGGCCGTTGAGGCAGCTTGATCGCTGACCAGGCTTGCGTATAGGGCGTCAAACGTGACACTATCTAGATCCGTTGGCGTGGCCGTCTCATTTGCGGCCGGGCTTCCATCAATACCCAGCATGTTGCCGGCCGCAAGCCGATAGACACTGGTCAGAGAGAGGTCGTTGGCCAGGTTTTCAACGGTTCGCAGCAGGCCGTGCATATACACGTAGGGATAGGATGTGTTTCGCAGCAGGATGAACCTGTCAACATGTTTTATGACGAGGGCAGCCACAGCGTGGATGTTGCGAACAGCCCGTGAGAGGAACAGGTATAGCCTGACCCGGTGCAGGATGGGGCGTTTAGGGGCGAGGGCAGAAGAGGGGGCGGGATCGAATCAAGCGCCCGGTTGGCCGAGGAATGCACGTACCTTGCAACAGCGAGGCCGTCGTGAACTTCAACGGCATTCCAGTTGCGGATGACGCCACGCCACCAGTAGCAGCCTGGGGTCCGACCCGTGATGACGCCGCTGGCAATCGTAAAATTGAAGGCGGAGACGCAGTCAAAGTTGGGCCCACTGGGTCCGCCAGCACTGGAGAAGGCAAACTCCAGGGTGAAGGAGCAGCCAGCCTCGTCTTCCGCGGAGGGACAATCGGGGGTGCCATCACAAAGCTGGGTGGGGGAGATGGGATCGGAGGAGGAGAGACAGGTCATGGGTGGGGTGACGGGAGGGGGGCAGAAGGAGGCATTGATGTAGGCTGGTGCGTAGCAGCTGCAAGTGACATCGTAGCCAGAGCGTGGGTGAACATTGCCAGCACAGTTGACGTTGATGGAAGCCAGGGTGAGGGGCTTATTTTCAGGATCGGGATGCTGTCTGAGATATGAGGTGTTGAGGATGCGCCACCACGTATCAAAGTCGACGGCATCGCCAGCCAGGGGACCAAGAAGAGCCATGTCGAGGCGTCGGAGGCTACCGGACTGCGGAAGAAGGGACTTGTCAATGACCGTGGGAGCAAGTCTAACGACGGCGCGATACGTTTGGAGAGAGGGCCACGATTCGTTGAGGGAGCGGAGGGCTTCGAGGTCGGGGATGTAAAAGAACAGATCGGTGAGGCTGGGGAAAAGGGGCTTGGGCTCTTGCCAGATGAGTGCCGGGGGAAAGTTATCCCAGTAGCGCAGGGTTTGCAGATTGGGATAAAGAGCCAAATGAGAAAGGTTTAAGGGAATTTGTGTTGGAGTGCCCCGCACGCTCCAATAGCGCAGAGCCGGGGCTGGGGGCAAGGGGGCATTGTAGAGTTGACAATCGTCAATGTCCAGAAACTGAAGCGCGGGGAGTGTGGGAAGCGCGAGTTCAGAGGTGTGTGCGACACCGCGGATGAGCAAGGCCTGGAGATGAGCAAGGCCCTGGAGATGGTCATACAAACGGAGGCTGTCGGTCGTGTTGGCGTAAAACCCGAGGGCCAAGGATCCGAGGTCGTGGGGGAGGCCGAGTGGGACTTGATGGACAAACTCGCAAAAATAATCATAAGTAAAGCCAAGCAGCTCGATGTTGGCTTCACAGGCGGGCTGATAATTGAGGCAGGAGCCGTGCCAGGTGTTGTTGATGCAGGTGAGGGAGACGCTGGCCTGATCGTGGCAGCGCACCGTGCAGGTTGTGGTGCCTGGCGGGCAGGTTTGCCCGTCAAAGCGCGGGGGCGACTCGGGACAAAGCGTTGCCGACGGCAGGACCACAACCGTGAGCAGCAAGAAGAGGCCCTGCCAGGTGACGGACAGCTGATGCGCGGGCCGTGGCATCATCGATGGCTATCAGGCGGGCGGCGGGTAGTCAGTGCCGCGTGTTGACCGGCTCATGTCACGCTCTTGAGATCGCAACTGTCGGCAATCGAGAAAAGCAATGTCATCATCAATGCCAGCAGAGTCAAAGACTTTGCGGTCGACCTGACCAGAAGGAGGAAGAGCAGCAGGAAGAGCAGCAGCAGCAGGAGCAGCAGCAGGAGAGAGGAGGAAGGGGAAGAGGAGGAAGGGGAAATGGATGAAGCGTCAGCTTGAGGAGCGAGGTTGCCATATTAGCACCATGTCAGCCCATGAAACCCCCTATCGCTACCTACCTACCATGACACTTACCCCCCACAACATACCTCAGCAATCCGATGCTTGACGCTTCACGCCTTCGAACAGACATTTACCCCCGCCACACACCAGGCACGCCACATCCCGCACCAGGCACTGGGAGACTGATAGCTCTCCCCTCCCCCCTCTTGCCCGAGCTGATCCTCAACGTCGAGCCACGATGCGCGCGCCTGCTCCACGCCTGCACAACAGCACTCTTTACATGTTAAATCTGTCTCAATCTCTGCTCTCAATCCCTCTCTCTCTCAATCCCTCTCTCTCTCTCTCAATCCCTCTCTCTCTCTCTCAATCCCTCTCTCTCTCAATCTCTCTCTACACATATCTCTCTCTCAAAAAATCTCTCTCTCTACACATCTCTCTCTAAATCTCTCTCTCTCTACGCGTTTCTCTCTCTACGCGTCTCTCTCTCTCTCTCTTCTCTCTTTGCAAATGTCAGACAAACAAGAACGCCAAATATAAGTATTTTACTTATAAGACCCGAGATGGACCATACCTGCGGGGTATCACACATGCGGACGGGTATAAGTCAACGTTTACCTTCTACTTACCACACCTGAACAGTTGTCAACAAAAACAAGGTCTTGTTGCTGTTGTTGTTTTTTTTTCAAGGTTTTGGGACGAAACGGCAGCGCCACTGTCTGATGAAAGGCGCGTGCAAAGCTGGCGGTGACGATGGTCATGGCGAGCTGATGAGGTTGTTTGAAGGCCCTCCGTGTTGTGGCTGCTTCTGCTGAGGAGCTGGAAGGGGCTGGTTGAGGTAAGCCGTTGCTCGGCTCTCTCGCGCCTTTGCCCCGCCCCCTGTCACAGCGGCTGCGACACCCTCACATGACCGCCCCCCCTCCTCCCCCTCCTCATGGATGTGTCTGTAGCTTGCCGCTTCAGTCCTGGGACCTAGAGCGGTATAACGCCCGGGCCTGCTGTTTTGTGGATCAGTTCGCTCGGTGGATTGGCCTTCTGTTCAGCCGACAACTACTCAACGCCGCCCCTACGAGCGCTCCTCCCGCTCACTCGTGCTCTCTCCTCGAATCTTGTCATTGCCAAGGGGTGCGCATTGAGCCGACCCATCCCCTCACCATGGGGTCGAGTAGCAGCCGTGCTGCACCGATCCACCACCATCGCTCATCAGCTGGTCAGCAAGAGGCCACCATCAACATCTTATTGCATGGGACAGAGGCCATCAATGCCTCCATTCCCGATCCTTCCCATCCGCGCCGTTCCAGTACCAGTTCAGCTCAGCAGCTCAAATTGACATCCGATCGACGTCTCAGCCGCTTTGATCCTGAAGCTAGTACAGGCTCGGGCCGCCTCAACGCCGAATCCACCCGTTACGCCAGCGATACCACCGTGGTCGATGCCACCCGCCTCCTGGCCAGCCAGCCAGCCATCAAGGTTCGCCGCACTCAAGCGCAGCTTCTCTTGGTTTTGGTTTGTTTGTTTTTCGAACCACTCCCCCCTTGTGCCCTCACCGACTTTCATCGCATCTAGGTTCAGTTGGTCATGGGCCAACAGCTACAACTGCGGTCTGCCGATACCAGTGATTTAATCCTCGCGCTCAATTGGCTGCAGTGCCACGAGTTTGCCATGTTACAAGGACCTCTCCTCCTGATCTACCACAATGATATCTCCGCCCACAGCGCCGCCATCACTCTCTTGGAAACCGCCAGTCGCACTCACACCCGTGAACTCGTTGCTCTCCTACGTGCCATCAAACACGACCGTGAAATTCACCACGCTCGCCACGCCCTTGATCAGGCACTCAACCCCTCCTCTTCCTCCATCACCTCTGCCGAGCCCCACCAACAACAACACTTTCGCATTACCCGTGGCTTCTCCATCTCCTCAACCTCCTCATTTGATGCTTCGGGTCTTGCCACCCCGCATCAAGCCAGCACGCTTGCCGTGCCCGCCGTGACCCGCATCCGCCGCTCAAGCCCCCTGGCCTCCCCCGCCCAAAGCCCCCACAACTCCCCCGCCGTGCGTCGGCAGACTCAGTCCAAAGACCGCCCCAACAGCATGCCCGTGCTGAACCTCGACGAGTGCCCTGATAGCCCCACCCTTACCAATCCCACGTCTCTGGACAACAAGCGACTCCAAGTCGCCCGTCGTTTCCAGGTCGAACTCCTGGACATGCTACTAGCCACCCGGACCGCACCCGAGGAACGTGCCCGGCGCGCCGCAGCTCTCTTGCATGACTTTGATAAGACCAGCCACGACGTGCTCCTCCCCTCGGCCAATCGGCAGGAACTCGTCGATGCCGTTCTCACCATGGATCACACGGAAGATGAGGGTGATCAAGAAGAATTGGACACGACCTCAAACAAACAGCCAGAGGGAACAGGCGCAGAAGATCCTGCCCCGATCCCGCCCCTCAACTTTGGGCCCAATGTTGCCCAGGCGTGGGGCGCCTCGCCCTCGGCACCGTCTGCCCAAGCGACAACGATGGACCTTGATCGCCTCGACGACAGTCATGACGCCGTTGTCACCCACCCCTCCAAGGCGTCTGTTTTGTCCGCTGACTCGGGGCCACCGGGCCTCAGTCGCCGCACAAGCAAGGTGGTGGCTCAGCTATTTGGTTTGGCCCCGCAACAGCAGAGAACGCTTTTTTGGGCCGGCTTGCGCCAGGTAAGCGGTGGCGAGGGCGGCACCTTTGAGCCAAACACAGATCTGCAGCAGCTTCACACCATGCCCAGCGTGGACGATGATGAGGAAAATGTTCGCGCAGCAACGCCCTACTCTGATGATGGTGATGACGACCGGCGCGAGAGTGGACAGTTGCAACTTGAGGCCGCTCGCCCTGGGGTCGAGCTTCTGCCCTGGCGCCAAGAGCTGGCGGGTTTTGGCGCTGTTCTAGAAGCCGGCCGCGAGCACGCCCGTGCCCATGCGACCGTCCACGGCAATTGGCAAGGCACTGTTGTCATTAGTCAGGTGCCAACCGTGTCGCGCATCCTCCGTAGCTATTCGGCCCTCAACACGGGCCATTGGGCCCTGACCGACATTGACACGGTTCGCTATCAGGGCCGTGCTGCCGTGCTGCGAGCCACCTCCTATAGCGTTGCGCTGATGGCCCAAGGAACCGCACGGGAGAACAGCAATGCTCCAGCAGGCATGCAACTTCTACTTTCTCGACTCGACTTTTGGTGCCGGGTACCTGGAAACAAAAAGCTGCTGGCGCTGGCCGTGCGTGGACCATCTAATCACTACCTTGTAGCGTTTTTTCACGTGCCGCGCCGAGCCGCCCAACTTCTTGCTCGCCTTGCATCACTGCGCCGGAAACACCATAGTCACTTTTGCGACGTGGCACTGCCTCCACCCATGACGGCCCGTACGGGCCCCGAAGGCACACCCGAGTACCAGGTGGAGGCACGCCTGCTGGGCACCCAGTTGCGCCACGGTGCCACCTCCCTGGCCACGGCGAGCGAAGCCATTTTTGAGATTTTGGTGTGTCGCCATCGCCAACCGCCTTCCCCCCTGCCCTCGGCCCTGCTCCCATCAGCGCAAAGTGGCCAAGTTGTCTCGTGCCTCAAATCGTCTGGACCCGCGTTGTCTGATTCGCTCATCTCATCAATGGTGTCACTAGGAACCCCTGCCATCACCGGTGCGCGTGTCATGCTCTTTTACGGCGTTGGACGCCACCATTGCGTGGGAGCATCCGGATGGATCCTCCGATCGGCGCATGCATTCGAGCGTGAGCTTTGAAACTCAGCACCTGCGGTATGGCACACACTTGGGGGCGCTCATTTCCACATGCTGCAATCAACACGATTCGGATGGTTGTTCCACGGTTCGGCCACATGACAACCAATGAAAGATGCGTGCGTGCACTGCTCACCGGCAACCTCCATTTGCATCCATCCATCTAGCCTTGCCGCCGTCCTGGAGCGCGACCGTGCCATGGCAGCCCGAGCCAAGGAGATGCACCTGCATCTTCCCGAGGACGGCTATCTTGTTGTGCGTGATGCCCGCCTTCCTTCATCACTGGTCAAGACTGCAACCTCGAAGATACCTGAAAATACCTCACGCGCATGGTCTGCCCTTGCCTGTCCGGCTGCAGCTACTCGTGTATGGCGAGGCGACAGAGCCTGTGTTGGTCATCGTTTTGGAGGTCGCCGGCATGGGTCTCGAGATTGTGAATCAACTCCAGCGCATTGTCCAGCTGGTGGGTGACCCGCAACATGCTCGCCAGGGTTAAAGGGAAGGCAGGGAAGCCCCTGGGAGTCAAATAGTCGAAGAAACAACGCTCAAACACCTTGTTGTTGCTGTCTTATCCTCACGAGCTGTGTGCGATGCGATGTATGCGGGCGCTGTCCATGATACTTAGAGCAAAACCACGCAGCGTGCACGCCAGACCGCAGACGTTTTTGCGAGTGTGACACCAAGCCCTGTATCAGCACTTGTTATAGATGGCCAGCACATTGAACCATCAGCAGGCCTACGGCAAGCGCAGATGGACCGTCATTCGCTCAAGTCCATCACTGCCCTCGGTACGCTGACAAGCGGCGGTCGCTCTCCAAGCTGCACACCGTCATGCCTTATTCCGTTCAATCCTCTGGCGCTTCCTGCATGCAGGTCAGGGTCATTTTGGCAAGGTTTACCTGACCGAGTGGAGTCCCACCGATGGACGTGAGCCTCGGAAGGTGGCGACCAAAATGCTCCGGTCTGACGCCACCGACGAAGATCGCGTAAGGCGCGCACTTGCATGGATGGATGATGCAGATTGATCTTTTCTTCACCATCTGTGCACTCGGCCATTGCTCCCGTTGCTCTTGATAGCGCAACTTTTTGCGAGAGGCCGAGCTGGCGTGCCAGCTGCGCCACCGAAACATCGTCCAATTTGTTGGTGCGTGCCCGGTCCCAATCACATGGTCGTGAACCACCGACGGGCTGTCTCAACATGCCAAACCCACCCTTTTGCAGGATGCTTGTTGGAGTCGGACCCGTGGTTGTTGGTCCTGACATACGTGCCGTATGGCGATGTGCGTCGCATCCTGAAGACGATTCGCGGTGGCGGCGCGCGTTGCAGTACGCTTGAGCTCTTGAAAATTGCTACGCAATGCTTCCAAGGTGAGGCGACAGGCTCATCGCGTTGCACCGCCCAGAGCTCCGCCGCGCCCCGCACCTGCATGGTATGGCAAGGGCCTACTGAGTTGGCGCCGATTGCTCACTCTTTGGGATTGAACCTGTAGCCATGACCTATGTGAGCGAACAACGCTGCCTGCACCTGGACCTGGCAACGCGCAATCTGCTGGTCGGGCTCGAAAACCATGTGGTTCTTACAGATTTTGGGCTCGGGCGGCGCCTGGCGAAGGATGAGGCAGCCTGGCATTGCACCAACCCAGGTTCGGCTGGGCTTGGCATGCACAGGAGGGACCACGGCGGTCGAAACACCTGATTTTCGGCATGACGTGCTGGCATCACGGCACGCTGACGCGGTTGGCATCTTTGGCTCGCAGGTCGCATGCCCATCAAGTGGCTGGATCCACAGGCCATGTTTGACGGAGTTTTCAGTCCACAGACGGATATCTGTAGGTGTGCCCGCAGACTCGATGTCTTGCTCCTGGGCCGCATGGCGAGCGATACGTGCTCACTGCGTGTGCTGCGTGTCGCTTCGGCGGTCATTGGTTCCAGGGGCGGCCGGTATTACACTATGGGAGGTGCGTTTGTGAAGTTTGAACAGCAAAAAGCGTCAGAGGGAAGGGGGGTGTGGGGATGTAAAAAAGAGTGGGTGCCCGGCGTGTCGCAGGTTCCGGTGCAGGTTAATGTTCACATTGTCCATGGGCTGGTTGATTGGTGATAATAGCTGTGGTCACATGGCGCACTGCCCTATGGACAACTCAAGGGTGAGTCTTTTGTCACCCACTGCTTTGCTGCTACGCCGAATGGCTGAGCAGGAGTAGCATTGGCCACAATACAATCTTGTCACCTTGTTTTGATCGATGCGGCGGCTGCGCGAATAGGCAAGGCGTATGAGGCGCAGTTTCGGGCGGGCTTGCGACTGGAGATGCCTAACAAGTGCCCGGCGTCGGTGTTTGGGCTGATGACGGCTTGTTGGCACAGTGATCCCTTGCAGGTCTGCTCGCGCTTGGTCTGATCCGCGCTGCAATCGCATCCAATGCTGGCTGTGCTCATGGTGCGCCATGAATCTTGTATTGTCTTAGCGGCCAACGTTTGGCAAGATGACGACCCAGCTGCAGCGCATTGCCGCTGCAGGCATTGCCAAATTGGCACAGGATCGCCCTTCGGTGACAGTGCGCGACCTGGGGCTGCTTGCCCAGGCGTTGGAGCGCCAGCAAGGTTTGTGCCAAGCCCATCCAGGATTTAAATTGTCTCCAGGTCGAAGGCAAGGTAGCATCAGACTCATAGCGACTCGTGGTTGACAGATGTCAGTGTGGTGCCACGATACTCTGTCAACAAGGACCGTGACTTGCACGGCCCGCGGCGGGCCACGGCACGCCAGGCAGATGAGAGCAAGAATGTTTCAAAAACGGACGGCAAGTCCGTAACCGCTGCGGTGCTCTCAACGCCGTCGTCGTCGGCCTCTGCCTCAGTGAGCGAGACAGCCCAGCCACCATCGCAACCAGCCCAAGAAGCTGCGGCACCGCTGGCACGCCCGCCCATGACGCGCCTGGCAGCTATTTCCGAAGCACCAGCCATCGAGTCACAAGACGTCTCGACCGCCGCCATCATGCCCACACCAATGGATGATTCCAACTGTTAAGCTGAAGCCTGGGCATCTCATCTGTGGAAAGTCGGTTGTGACCAAGATGGGACCCCGTGCGGGATAAAAGTACTAATTATTCTGTGTTACTACAATAAGCATCTAAACATTTGAATGGAATTTTCTTATGGACGCATCAATTTTATAGAAAATAATGTTTACGAGTGTTTACGGAGCGTCGTGACTTATGTTGATGATTGTTGCGCCGAATGTTATTTTGCCCAACGTAGAGTTAAACGGTGGTCATGGCCACCGCGCCATCGCGGTTCCAGCTGCGCGACATGGACGACAGTGGTCCAGCAGTCAGCTGGAGTGGGTTTTTATTCAAAAAGGCTTGATGTGCATGTTGCTTCAAGAACCGTTGATAAATGTAAAAAGAGCTAATCAATTGGCAGAAGCACCAGTGCAAAAAACATGGTGCATGGCCTGCGGCACAGCCACAGGACTGTTGTTTGTATTTGCTTTTTTTTTTTGTTCTTATTAAGACCATTGCATTACTTAATGTCGCACTGCTCACACATGGCCTGTCAGCTCTAGACTTGGTCAAAAGAGCGCAGGGGAAGAAGAACATGTGCGCATCGCATCACATAAAGGAGACTTTACGACTCTTGGGGGGCAGAATTGTTGTTGCGCGAGGTCTCGAGGGAGAGCTGTTTGAGGCGCTCGGCTTGGGCGGCAGCCAGGTCCGTCAATTTGCGGTTCCAGACATCTTGGACGGTGCGCTTGACGCGGCAGGAGAGGTGGGTGACATCGGGGGTGACGACCAAGTTGCCAGCGGAAGTCACGGGCTTGCCGTTGACGGTGAGGATGATGTCAAACTGTTGAATGCCAATCTGGTGGGCGGGGGTGTTGGAGATGACGTCGCGGGCAAAGGTGAAGGGGCCGACGGTCATGCCCTCAACACCAAAGTCGCCGGGGCCAACGGCGCCGCTGAGCTCGATTTCCTCAGTCTCCTCGTCGACGAACTCGCGGAGGAGGTTAAAGTCTTCGCTCACACCCTTGGGGTCCAGGGTGCCACCCAGGGAGGCGGGAATCTGGGTCGGGCCGAAAAAGGTTTCGAGGCCATCGCCCTTGGAACCCACCAGCTGCACGCGCTCGCGCAACTTGGCGTTGACAAAGGGGCGCACGATGCCCCAGACCATGGACATGACCGCAGAGTGGTGGCAGAGGGCGATGGTACCGACACGAACGGGGAGGCGATCCTAAGTGTGCAGACATTTTGGGGTGGAACGAGTGAGCACCACGCACGAGGCGGGAGTTGCGGTGGGGGTTCGCTAGCGAGGCGTAGTGGAGCAACGGGAAGGGTATCGTACCTGGAGGAAGCGAATGACGTCGTGCTGGACTTCCGAGGTGAGGTCGGACCAGCCAAAGTTGGTGGCGTCGGCAATGACAGCGACACCAGTGCCGGCGAGCTGGGCCCCACGGCGCTGGAGAAGCTGTTCAAAGAGGTAGTAAAGGGCCTGAACAATGTGCTCCTTGCGGAAGGCGTTGAAGTTGAACTTGGAGTAGTCGCTGAAGAGAACGGTGTGGCCGAGGGGTCCAGGGGCGGGGAGGGGGGTCAGCATGCCGCTGCCCAGGACGTCCAGGAAGCGGACGGCGGTCATGGGGTGATGGTCCGAGCCGAGGTGCTCATCTTCCCAGGCCTCGAGGTTGAAGAGACGCTCCGAGGCCTTGGTGAGGTCGTACTTGGCGACGCGAAGGAAGCGAAGCAGGTAATCGTCGTCATCGTAGCGGATGGGAAGGCGAGTGGGGGCTTGACGGCGACGGGCATCGTTGTCAATGTTGCGGCGGAAAGCGGCAAGGGTGCCGGTGATGTCCGAAGGAGCCATGGTGGGGCTTTGAGCTTGAGCTACGGAGGGAGATGGGTGATTGAACCCGGGGGATAGCGCGACCGGAGCGTGTTTGGCGGGATGAGTGATGGCGGAGGATGCGGGGTTGTTACTGGGCTCGGGGTTGGGAGCCGTGGACCACGGGATGGGAAAGGGAAATGGGACGGCCAGCGGCACTGCTGCCAGGGTGCTTGGTGTGTGATTGGTGTTGGGCAATGCCATGGTGTGAGGGTGTGAGGGTGTGAGGGTGTGAGGGTGTGAGGGTGTGAGGGTGTGAGGGTGTGAAGCAGATCAGATCTTTCAAGACACACCACGGTGCGGCGTGGGCGCGGCGGATGGAGGGACAAAGGAGCGTGTCAACGACAACACAAGACACGACGCAAGATTGCGTCAAGACAAGCAGCAACAGCAACGGCACCAGTGGGCACACACTCTGGGTTCGGGCTGGATCTTTCCACCAAAACAGACATTGGAAAAATGGCAGCGGGAATCAAAGCCGGCTCGTTCCCAATGGTGTTGATGTCTCGATGATGGCGTCGGTAGCGTGTTGGACAGCCGAGGGCTCCAGACGCATCATCACCACCACACTCTGATCATCAACAACTGGTGCTGATGTGTGTGTGTGTGTGTGTGTGTGTGTGGGTGTGTGTGTTGCCGAGGCGTTGCATTTGGATCTGTGTGTGTATGTGTGTGTGTGTGTGTGTGGTGTGATGTGATGGCGGGGCAGTCATCGGGGTCAACAGGGGGCGCGATCCAACTTACGAGCAGCCATGATGATGATGATGATCGCGATAAAACACGCTAGAGTCCAAACTTCAAACCCAAATCAGACCAGTCGAAAACGGGGCAGCAACCAGTCGTAATGGCAGTGGTGTCCGTCCGTCAGTGAGGTCAGTGAGGTCGGAGAAGGGGGTCAGTGGCAGCAGAGAGGGATCACTGGATGTCCAGCAAGGAAAAAAATGGAGTCGTGGCCGTGTTGGGGTTCAAGATGTGGGCGGTGAGCAAGATCGGGCAGGGTCCTCCGTGTGTGTGGTAGATGCATGTATAGGGTGTGGAGGATCTGATGTTCATGTGTGGCAAAATTAAGTGTGAATGTGCTTGGCAATGTTTGTTTGGGTGTGGAGGTTTGGGGTGTGTGGTGTGGCAAAGGCGTGTGTTTTGTGTGGCGATGTGATGAGCCATCAGCACAATAACAAAAATCACATACGGGTTATTGCATTAAATTTTAGAGTTTATGTAGTTTTATTAAATTAATAAGAATTAGTTTATGTTGTATAATGATATTTAGTTGTAGCTGTGATGAGCGTCCGGTGCTTGATGCAAGACGACTCGCGCCCTTCATCACACACACACACACTTTTCTCTCTCTCTCTCTCTCTCTCTCTCTCTCTCTCTCTCTCTCTCTCTCTCTCTCTCTCTCTCTCTCTCTCTCTCTCTCTCTCTCTCTCTCTCTCTCTCTCTCTCTCTCTCTCTCTCTCTCTCTCTCTCTCTCTCTTTGGGTGTGACGCAACATGGAATCGGGGACATGATGTGAGGCAACACTTGGTCATGGCGAAGTGTGCACATGTGTGGGAATACAACGTTGTTGGACGTTGGCGATGTGTGGGTGGGTGTGGTGTGATAGGGTGTGGTGCGGGTTCATTGCATGACGTTGCAGATCGGCAGAGAGGTGTGTGTGCCACAGTGGCAAGATCAGCCCAACTCAAAAGTGTAACAAATCACACTTATAGCCGCTGGTGCAAGCTGCTCAAGGGCTTGCATAAGGATGAAAGCTGGTATCTAAAACTTACCTCTGTTAGTTTAAATTTTTCATCTGACATGTTAATTTATATTACATGTCTTTAAAATATAAAGTCGGCACAGGTAGCTTCAGCCCGGCGAGCTGTTTCGGCGACTCGCGCGGACTGGACTGGCGCCTCGGAGCGTGAAGGCATGATGTGCAAAGAGCGCGCCTGGCGTGCATGTTGAGGCAATAAGGGCATCTACAGTGGAACGGATTCCTCCGAGATACATTCCAAGCAGCTGACAGTTCAAGCCCACCCGTCCCCATCATCATTCACTGGCTTGCTTGTATTGTGTTCGCGTGCTTGTAAAACACAGTGAGTGTGCTTGTATCGGCGTGCTTCTCTGTCTGCATTGAAGATCGCAAGCCATTTGTCTTCACGCAACGCGCGTGTAAAAGTGCTTGCGTCTTTGATCGATTTGTTGGATGTGTACAAAGGTCAGTCGGGGGCGAGCGCTGCTACTTGGAGTGAGACGGGCAACCGCGATCGGGTAAGTAGACCAGCTTGTTCATCTCGACCCACCTCTCTTTTCCTTTCCTGTCTTTTGCTTCTTCTTCATCATCTTCTCTCATTCTCAAGCTGTGTACCTCTTTAGACGACAAGCGATCAGACGCCGGTCGTGTCAGACAGTGAAATTCTCAAGTGCTGCTCCCCAAACCGGCCGTGCAATCGCCGACACTACAGGCAACTGACAGTGAGCGCTTTGCAAAGCCTGCCATGAGCGATCGGCAGCCCTCTGGCAACCCCTCAGCGCACTTCATACACCTGGCTCACTGCTGCATTTGCTCCGCCTGCCTCCTACCCAGCAATGCCCGAAGTCGCCGCCGACAAAGGCAAGAACGGACGGCTGTCCAACGCCGCCAAGGCGGGGCATCGCCGCCACGTCTACCAAAACCCCAAGACCTCGAGGATCGAAAGGGGCTGGATGCAGCAGGAGCTTAATCGTGGCCGCACCTTCAACACTATGCGCAACCTACCCGGCACCCACATCGACCACACGAGAAACCATCCTGATTTCTGTCGTACCCAATGGGCGTCAGACAACAGTAGCCGTGGTGCTCGTCTTGGCAAGGAAGGTGAAGCCATCCGCACCCGTGCACAGCCCAAGGCGCAAACAACGGGATGGAAAGGCCCACGCGGCGGCGGCGGCAGCAGCAGCAGCAGCGGCATTGGTAAAAGTGTCGGTGCTGGCACTCGTAGCGCTATGCAGGCAGCAAGCCGCACCGCCGCCCGCCAGACTGCACTGCGCACAGGCGCACGGATTGCTGGCAGATGGCTTGCGGGTGGTGCCGCGCGCGTGCTTCTGTGCAGCGTGCCTGGTGGCGCATTTTTCTCGGCCGCGCTGCTGGCCGTCGACCTCTACATGAGCTACTACAACACTTGTGGGGGCGACGATGGTGGCCCCGGTCGTGGAAATCGCGAGATGGCCCGCGATCCGGGTGGGGTAGCCGTTCCTCGTGGAAATCTGGAGGCCTTCAGCAAAGCCCCAGAACTTGCCGCCGACGATGCCGCTGCCGTGCTGGCCATTCTTATACCCCGTGCGGAGGCGGAGCTTCAAGGTCTTCCCTTCAGCTCTCGCACGGGTGACCTGCACTCCGCCGTGGTGCAGATCGTTGTGGCAGAACTCGCCACTAGCATCTACGTCGACAACGCCTACCCGTTTTTTTCCCTTCATTTCAACAAGGATGCCTGCCTTTACCCCGTGCTGCACCCGCTGCTGCGCGAGACGCTCGTGGGCCACGTCATCGCCACGCTGGACTACTACCTCAAGGGGTTCCTCAACGGCGGCGTGTACCCCGTTGAATACCTGATGAACTGGCACGAAGGCAGCTGCGGGGTGCAGCGTGAGGAGCTTAGGCAACACGTTGTTGACCTCCGCACCTTGGTGGCAACCCACGGTGGCGAGGGGGTTGCGTATAAGTCACTTCTCGAGATGCTGGCTGAGGCTGGCGTCGCAGACCTTGTAAGAGGGACCGATCAGCCCGAAGAGGCCACCAGCACCGGCAAAACCACCGACGCATCGGCCAGCAAGTTCCGCACCAGTTTTCGCATTATCGGGACCCTGGAGCGAGCCGAGCGCGATGGTGACGTCGTCGCCTTGGTGCCCGGTTTTCGTGTCGAATACACGGTGGAGACCACACCTGCTTATCAGAAGGTGTTAGACGCTCATCTTGCTGAGCATGGCGTGTACCCAGATGGCTATGCCACTGTGCAGCGTGTGTATGCGCGCGCGGCTCGGGCTGCAGAGCAAGTCATGCCCCGCATCCCTCTCTTTGCCCCCTACTTTGCCATGCTCCGCATCATCACAGCCTGCTCCGCACTGGTGACGTCGCTTCGGTCGACAGGGAAACTGCCACTCCTGAGTCTGCCAGTCGATGCATTCCGCACGGGGGCCAACTGCAAGCTGACACGCCTGACACCTCCTTTGTATCCCCCCCTGCCCGTGCGCTACTACAAGCAGCACGTCATTTCGATACGTCTGCTAGACCTCGTCAACCAGCTGCGTGCCAACGACAACCTTTCTGCTCTCACGCTAGACTCGCGTCACACACGAGCCTTTGAGCCCTCCAAGCTGGATCGTGAGATGGAGAGGCTTTCCTTACGCGTCTTTGAACCAATGGCCGACGTTACTTCCGCCGTCCAAGCTGCTGTTGCTACACTGGCCCAGCGCCAGCTGCCAAGCGAAGTGGACTTTGCCAGTGTCGACCTGGACGCTCTCCAGACGCACGTTCAAAATCAGTTGACTGCAGTGGCCGACGCTTGGCCAACAGTGCTGCTGCCCCGAATGATTGTGGATACAACACGGCATTTACTGGCCACGTCCCTCTTTGATGACGAGCCGTCACAGCTGCCAAACGATGGCGGTGTGGACATTGAAGCTCATGAAAAAGCTGTCAGGGCCAGAATGCCCAGCAAAGAGGTGACGGAGCAGCTACTGCAGCCATTCCTGCGCCGCCTTTCGACCATAGACACAGTGCCTGACCGCAGCACTGCCGTCCGCCAGCATTTTGCCGATGAACTCATCACGGCTTTCCGAGCGTCGGCACTGTTTCCTCCGTGCAAGTTTCGCGAGGAGAGCCGCTTGCGAAAGCAAATTTTGCACACGCAAACTCAGTTGCGTGAAGAGCTCGCCAAAATTGATGTTTATCAACGCAGCATGGAGAAGGCTACCGAGGAGTACCGGACATCCCAGCTTGAGGCGCTTGCACAGGAGGTCCAGGATCTACATGCAGGCTTTGACCGTCGGGTGCTCGCCGTGCCTCCCGGCTGTGCCGTTGACCCAGCCGCAGTACAAGCCTTTCGGCAGTGGCTAGCCGATCAGGAACGACAGTCGCGTCAGCAGATTGAGGAAAGAGTGCAGCGCCAGGTTACAAGCAATGCCCAGGCTTTGGATGACGCTCGTCGCGATGTCAATCAGAAGGTGCAGAAGTTCATCCAAGGAATCGAACATACACTGCAGGTGGAGCCAGAAAAGCGACTCATGGGCATCCTCTCGGAAAAAGCTTCAGCATATTCATCTCAGCTTGCGGATGGAATTGTCCAGCTTCATGCCCGCCAGTCGGCTATCATTTTCCTTGACGACAAGACGATAAAGGGAAGAGTCGTGTCTCGCTGCTTGGGCGTGGCGGATCGGAGCTTCCTCAATGGGCATCAGGAGGATCCGAGGATCATAGGGGGCTGCGGGGTCAGCCTTGAGGACCTAGAGGACAGCCCGCTTTTAGCCACCACCCTATCGACCGCTCAGGCACAACACCTGCGCGTAAGCCTCGCGCTCAAGACCTCTGCGGGATCCAGCACAGACGTGAACGCCCAAGCTGTGGGTGCAACTGTGACCCGGCTAGATTTGGAGAATGGCCAATCTGCACTGGCTTTTCGCTGTCCGACTGAGAACGGATGCCTTGCGTCGCCCTCTGAAGCCACGCTTTGGCGAGCATGCACCCACGACGGCCGCGGGCACGTGACACCCGGACTTGGGCTAGTCATGGCAGAAGCTCGAGCGCTCATCGGCGACTGCCTCGAGCATGACGACTCGGTTGCTGAGGTAAAGGCAAAGCTATTGACGCTTGTAAAGCAATCACCCAGCGTGGTCTCAAGCCTTTCGCAGCTGGCTGCCGAAACGGAGCCTGCTACGGGCGCAACCCTGCTCCACGTGGCGGCAGCCTTTGCTTGCCCTAACGCCACCGAAGTGCTATTGGAAGCAGGCGCCAATGCAATGGCGACGGACAACGAGCAGGCCACGCCACTGCACTACGCCGCCGCTGCCGCGGCAGCTTTGCTGGAAGAAGGCTCGCGCGGCAGTGCTAACGACCCTGACACCAGCCCACACCAGGCTGTTGGCAATTTTGCAGGGGAGCATGAGGCACCAGAGCTGGCAACAGTACGGCTTTTGGTGAATGCGGGCGCATCGCCTTTTGTAAGACAAGGCGCGGGCCTAACGCCACTTTTCGTCGCCTGTCAGGGAAATGCTGCCGCCACGGCTCTGGCCATGCTGGATACACACAAGGCTGGTGGTGGGTGTGACGTCAATGTGGGCCCGGACTCGGACATGATGCCCCTCCACTGCGCCGTAGCCCACGACATGGCGGCCGTGGCAGCTCGCCTTGTCCAATGCGGAGGGAGCTTGGAACGGCGGCGGCGTGCCGATGGTGCCTCTCCATTCCTCTACGCATGCATGCGAGCGTCCCATTCAACACTGGACGCTATGCTCTCTGCGGCCAAGAATGTACCGGACATTGACCACATGCTGGAGGGAAATTACAACTGCCTGCACTGCCTTGCCGCCTATTCTGGCAACAAGTCCTTGGCCAGCTGCTCCGACCTCCTTCAATCTGCCCAGGTCCTCCAAGCGGTTTACAAGGGTGCCAGCTGGCGGAGTCTCTGCTGCCAAAAGGACAGCAACGGTCGGACACCAGCAGAACTCGCACTGGGCAGTGGTCTGCCAGAACTTGCCATGTTACTTGGCGAGCAGCTGGACGCCGATTCTGAGTTGCGATGCTTACAGGCCGCCCTGGCTGCGGGAGCTGAAAGTTTTCTACGGGCCCACGCAGGACGCTTGCCACCAGATCTTGCCCGTGGGTGTGTGAAGCGCGGCTTCCGTCTCATGTATTCTCCTCAAAAGACAGAAAAGATCGTGAGTGATGCCCTGAATGCCCATACTGGCGAACAGGATGCAACCTTGCTGCTTACAGCCGTAGCACAAACACGGCAAGCCGTTCTGTTGCGCACCATTCTGGAAAAGCAGCACAAGGGCAAACTACAGGTGGCCGAGTTCCTCAGACTCGCGGCAATAGCCAATGACGTCTCCCTTGTGAGCGAGACTTTACCAAAGGCGGACCAAGCGGCCATGCACGCATCGCTTTGCGCCGCACTGCGGCAGGCATCCTTGATGGCTGCCAGCCTGCTAGCCGACAAGCTGAATTTTACAGTGCTCGCCAAGCCGCAGATTGCCGAGGTTGTGGAAGCCGCCATATTGTCACAAAATCGGGACGGTTGGGCCCTCATCGCACGCTTCGTAGCGCCGGATGATATGCAGCAGCTTCCGTCGTGTCGGAATGGCAACGCACTGCACTTGGCCGTGACCAGTGGAGCCACCATCCTCATCCCAGCCATCGCTGCTGCCGGGGTATCGAGCGAGCAGCTTGACGACGATGGGCGCTCACCGCTCGAGCTCGCCGTGGCCATGAGTAGCCCTGCGCTTGTGGAGACGATGTGGCGCGTTCGGCCATCGCGGCTGCGCACTGGCGAGGACCCGGGCGTTGTCAGGGACACGGCGCCATCTGATGCCTCGCTTTTGACCCGCGCCATCTGCCACGCTCTTGAGCTAAGTGATGAGGTCATGTTGAGAACCCTTCTGCGGCTCCCAGGTGACGGTTCCAAGGCAGAAGCCTTGTTGCGTCAAATACCTGCAGCTGAGAAGAGTCGGCTTCTTCGCCACAGCATTGACACGGGGGCTCTTGCCCTACTCAAGTTTTGCCTGGGGCTTCTCCGATGCATCCCGACCCCCGATGCCGTGGCCGCTGCTGCGGTCAAGGACAGACCGGACCTTGTCGCCTCCCTCTTGGATACCTTAGCGGGTCAGAACAACCCCAAGGTGCTAAATGAGGCCGTGGTGGCTGCTTACGAGGCTGCTATGGGTGTCTCAACACCCGTGTTGGGCCTCGTGCACCTTATGGCCAACGGCAAGGTGGGGACAAGCACATCTGCGGCGGACGCGTGTAAAATGTGCACCACGACGCCCTCCTTGATGCCCCTTGTGCAGGCGGAACAGCTTGCAGGGCGTCTCCGTGCTGTGCAAAACGCGATTGAATCAGGCACGGTCGCTGAATTGCGACATGCACTGAAAGAGCTCCCTGATAAGGGTCTACACTTTCGTGACCCAGATACGGGCAGCCCGTTGCTACACTGTCTTCTTGCCAAGCGGCGTCTCAACGCCCTGAATGTGCTCCCGCCTGGCTACAAACTAAACTCCCTGGACTTGGGCGGCCTGAGCAGCTGGACCCTGATGCTTCAACAGCTATCAGCCCAGGATATGAATGAATGGCTGCAGGCTTTGTGCTTGAGTGGGCATCAGACACGAAGTCAGCTGGCAGACGCACTTCTCTGCTCTGTAGGGGGGCATACGCCCTTTGAGCTGGGGCGCATGGGACTGGCTCAAACGACGGGGCTCCAAGTGCTCGCCACGCACGTGGCTGTTGGTTGTGAGGATTCCGAGGTCGATGCCGTGTCGACGCTGCCGGTCGTGCGCGGAGCGGGCAAATATGTGGGCTGCACTGCACTTCACGTGCTTTGCAGCGAGGCTGGTGCGAGTGCCGTCCAGGCGTACCTGGCGGCTCTGGAGGAAAGAGGTGCGAGCCCGGCAGTTATGCGCCAGGTGGTGAACGCCCGAGACCGGCAGGGTCGCACTCCACTGATGTGCCTGGCTGCTAGCCGCGGGACTGATGTTGGGTTTGCTGCTCTTACAAGGGCCGGCGCGGAGTTTGATGCCGTGGACGGATGCGGCCGCGGTGTGCTTCATCACGCGATTGCGGCCAGTCACACTACATGGCTTGGCAATGTCCTCTTGGATCCAACCACTGCTTCCCTGCTACCTCGCGGGCCCGATGCCGATGGACGGAGGCCCGCCATGCTGGCTGCCCAGCTTGGGCTTGGTCAGGTGCTACGGCTCTTGCTGCTTCACAGGGACGAGCAAGAACACCTATGCACGCCGGATGTGTGGGGCCACACGGCGCTCACCCTGGCTGCTAGCGAAGGTCATGACGACCTTGTGTGTATGTTGGTAGATGACTATGGTGTAGACCCGGATGCTGTGTGTGAGGGGCCGCTCAAGGTTGACATTCAGCAGCGTTCCATGAGCAGCAGCGGACTTGCCGCAAAGGCAGGTATGACTGCAATTCACCTGGCAGCGCAGCGGGGCCACATGCCCGTCGTGCGTGCCCTTCATCATCGTGGTGTTTCAGTGTCAAGGCCCAATGTACATGGACAAACTGCGCTGCAGCTGCTCTTGAGCGCCGGGCGTGCGGATGCCATTGACCTCCTGTCACCGACACAGCTCATGGCGGTGGCCAACGAGCCACAAATGGGCGCCAGCCTCTTATCCGCCGCCGCACGCGGCAACCTATCCACCACAATTCTTAATTTGGTCCACCTTGCCGGCATCGCAGTTGATGCCGCCGATGCCAAGACGTTGATGACACCGCTACATGTAGCCGCAGCCACAGGTGCGCTGCAGTCCGTACGTGCTCTCCTCGACCTCGACGCAGATTTTCTGGCTTGTGACTGCCAAGGTCGCACGCCGCTGCACATGGCAATTGAGTGTCGACAGCCAGACGCAGCCGCAGAGCTTCTACGGGCCGCACTGGAGGAGGGTGAAATAAAACGGCTTTGTGCCGCGACGACTGCCGATATTGTGGGTGGGGCAACAGCATTGCATGTGGCAGCCGAGGCAAACGATGTGGCCACAACTGCACGCCTATTGCGAGCTGGGGCTGATGTCAATAAGCCTGACGCCCGTGGGAACACACCAGCTCTCTGTGGCTTGCGGCGCCACGGTGATGGTGGTGACCTGAGAGTGCTCCAGCTTCATGTTGCTTATGGCGACGAGAGCCTGGCGTCACGTGTTAAGTTACCGTCAAACCACGGCAAGGAGGCGGCGGCGTTGCTTGAACGCTTGAGGTATGAGAAACCCCTGGTCAAGCCGGGCGAGCCACATCCACACCCACGGCGGCGTCTGTATCTTGAGCCGGATGACGTTACCCACGCTGGGGACATTCGACCACTTCTCCGCCGCGCCTTAGAAAGGAGCAGCAGCCAACTAATGGAGCTGGCGCAGGTACAACTAAGGTCCGACACCAGCAATGATGGCCCCAAGACGACCGGAAACACGCCGATCGCAGAAAGCGCTGGCGCCACCTCAAGCACGTGGCTAGATGTTGCCCAGGAAAGCGACTCGTGTCTTGCGGAATACTTTGTTGCGGTGACCGAAACCACGGGAGCTGAAGACCTCCTTGAGACTCAAACGCCAGCTGTCATGACGGTGGCAGAGCGGCGTTTGGCTGTGCGGCAAGCCTGCCAGGGACTCTTGCAAGCCCATTGGCACTTTGGGGCAGAGGGTACCAAAATTGCGGTGGAACACCTCAACTCAACCAACCTCACAGCCAAAGACGTATCTCTGACCGCGCTCTGGCCGGGCAGGAAGACTGCCAAGCAAGCTCTCCTTGTCAGATGCATTGCCGAAGCTGCACGTGGGCCTTGTGAAGCCGATGTACTTCAATTTGGACTGGACGCCATGCTTCGCTGCGCACCCGATAGCTTAAGCGCGGCCGGCGCTAGTGCACTTGGTTTAGTGCTGAACCAACTGGTCTGTGTTGGAGGCTCTCTCTGGCTTGGCTTTGTGTGCACTAGCGGCGCGGCGGGGGGCGCACTGGCTGATTTGACGGGTTTTGCACAGGATACTATGGATCTTTTGTCGGCGTGCCAGGATGAGGCTTCCTCCCTCAGGGCGCTCAAGTCGCTAATCCCTAACGCACTAGCACGAGGCGCAGCTCGGATAGAGTGCAAGAAGCATCGTGCACGGGTTCCAGCGGTATCACCCAAGCCAAGTGCAAAGGGCCCGGCAGTATCACCCAAGCCAAGTGCGAAAGGGCCGGCAGTAGCACCCAAGCCAAGTGCGAAAGGGCCGGCAGTAGCACCCAAGCCAAGTGCGAAAGGGCCGGCAGTAGCACTCAAGCCAAGTGCAAAAGGGCCGGCAGTAGCACTCAAGCCAAGTGCGAAAGGGCCGGCAGTAGCACCCAAGCCAAGTGCGAAAGGGCCGGCAGTAGCACCCAAGCCAAGTGCGAAAGGGCCGGCAGTAGCACCCAAGCCAAGTGCGAAAGGGCCGGCAGTAGCACTCAAGCCAAGTACGAAAGGGCCGGCAGTAGCACCCAAGCCAAGTGCAAAGGGGCCGGCAGCGGCGGCACGTGGCGTCAATCTGGACCGAGCAGCTGGGTCAGCCAACACAAAGCATGCGCAAATAACCTCGACTCCACACCTCAAAGACTTACGCGCAGCTGCACAGCAAGCTTTGGCCGTGGCGCTAGCCAGCGCCTTTCCGGACCATGACGTCGAGCATGTGGAGCAGTCGTTTGCTAAGGACGTCTCCCACCCTCTCTCTCCAGACGTGCTTGCCCACTGCACAATGTTGTTTGACACGATCGAAAAAGCGGAGCAGCGGTTGTCGGCGATGGACATGAGCGGTGTGGTAGCGGAGGCGCGACAGCTTGGACAGCATCTAGCCAAGCGCCCTGGTTGCGGTTTTCCTCACTCCACGGACGACGAGGGCTGGAAGCAATGTGCTCACCTGCTAGCTGTACTTCGTGTCACGGCACGTCGGCGTCTAGGCGTGCGGCCGTATACAACACAGTTGTTTTCCCTCCTTGCCCTCCTTCATGGCATGGATGCCGATGGCGAAGGGCTGCAAGGTCGCGTGGCGCAAATTCGTACAGGGGAGGGCAAGTCGCTGCTGTTGGCTCTTCTTGTCGCATACCTTGCCCTGTGCGGACGCACCGTGGACGTTGTGACCAGCTCGGACGGTCTAGCCACTCGTGATCAGGCAGAATTTGCATCCTTTTATGAAGAGTTTGGCCTACGTGGGGCACACATCTGCCGAGAGGAGCCGCAGCCTGAGCACTTTGAAGCCCCCATTGTCTACGGCACGAATGCGGCATTTGAGTTTGGCGTGCTGCGGGCGATGTTAGGCTGGCCAGGTGCGGCTGTTGCGAGCAACGGTGCGCCACGTCTGCGCGATGTTGTTGTAGTGGATGAGGTGGACAACATGCTGATTGACACGGCCTTGTCGCCAGCGCGCCTCGCCCGGCCGCGGCTGCATGATTGGACCTGGCTGTACGAGCCTATCTGGCATTTTGTGGAGAAGGTTTTGAACGCGGAGAGTACCAGCGCACCATGCTCTCGGCTTCGGAGCCACCTGAACAGTGTGCTGCTGCCAAGCCTTCGCGAACAGCTTGCCGACGTTCCAGATGATGACTTGGGACGCCTCGTTGCCTCAGCACTGGCGGCACGTAGCAAGAAGCGCAACGTCGACTATGTGGTGCAGAATGACGAGGTGTTGATTGTGGATTGGGCCCATACAGGTCAGTTGCAGCACGGGTCGCGATGGTCCGGCGGCGTTCATCAGTTTGTCGAAGTGAAGGAGGGGTTGGAACCGAAGAGCGAGTCCTTGACTGTCGCCTCGCTCGCACACCCGTCCTTCTTCAACGGATATCGAAAGCTCGTGGGGGTCTCCGGTACCATTGGGTCTGTGGGAGAGCGCAGCGAAATTGGTAAAATGTACAACACGTCCAGCTTTGATGCACCCACGCACCGCACTCGCCTGCTAAAGCAACTGCCGACGATCCTGGTGGATGGTGACTATGAGAAGGTATACCTCCCTCGGCTTTGTGAGGAGGTGGTGCGAGCCGCAAGTGGGGAACAGGCACGGCCTGTATTGGTACTGTGCGCGACGCTTCGGAGCGCGCAGCAGGTGACTGCCGCGCTGGCTAGGTCGTCTGCTGCCGGGTCCTGGGCCCGCCTCCAGCAGCTTACCAAGGTGCAAGCGGAGGACGAAGCGCTCATTGTTCTTCGTGCTGGAAAGCCCGGGACGGTGACTGTGGCTACCAATGCTGCCGGGCGCGGGACGGACGTGCGGCTAGCCTCCGAAAGCATCCGATCCGGGGGCTTACATGTGCTCATAACGTTCCTTCCGGCCAATCTGCGCGTGGAGGAGCAAGGCCTGGGCCGTGCCGGTCGGCAAGGCCAACCAGGAACCGGGTGTCTTTTCATCCACACGGGTGGTACAGATCAGCTCGTTCATACCCTAACTCAAGGCACGCGCTGCGCATCAACGCTGGGGGTCAAGCAGCTTTTCACCCTACGCGAGGCGTACATTGAAGCACAGTCTGAGGCACGCATGCGACGCGCTGCGTTGGAGCGCCGGCTTTATGGCCTGCTATACCGATTCTCGCAATGCCTGTCCCAGTTTCGCTGCATAACAGTCGGGGCGATGGAGCAAGCTGCTGGTATGCCGAAGAGCAGTGCACCCGCGCTGACTAAAGCCCTGTGCCAGCTTCGCGGGAAGGCTGCACCAGAAGAAGAGCCTTTGCTGTATCAGGCGGAGGGGCTTCGAGCCCGGGCCGGCGTGGTGCTCGAAGAGGCTTGGGCGGTGTTCTTCTCGCAACAGTGCCAAGTGACCGCCAGCAAGGATGATGCCTACGTGGAGGACCAATTCAAAGTCTGGGCTCAACAGTGGCTCCCGGATGATGCCGTCATGTGGTTACGTGGAATTCTACTGATGCCGGGGCATGAGGAAGCTTGATTGATCGTTGGCTGAATACTCGGTTGGCATGCAAAGCACTGTGCATGGCCGTTATAAGGCAGAGAGGACGGTGTTGGCATCAAACTCGTCCTTGAGGGCCGTGCTTCGTGTATTTTGCAACGTGGTACAGACCGTCTTGTGTGATAAAGTTGTGTGACTACCGCTGTCTCTTCTTGTTGTGCCACCTGCTGCGGGGCACGATTTCCCTATCCCGGGACAGTTATTCTAATGGTGCACCTGGTCTGGTCACTACTTGCCGACCACACTGGTCCAATCGACTTGAAGACACCAACAAATCTCTTGTTTCGTTGAGACATCTCTAATACTCCTGTAAAATGCTTCCTCAACACTTATGCGCCTCCTCGCTACCCAAAACATGCCGTGGAGACGGAGATTGAAATTGGTAAGGAGAAACCTTGAGAACAGAAACGCACGGTAGAGGTAGGCATCATCGAGGAAATTGAGGCGAAGGCGGTGCTGGAGGTGGCCAATGTATGTGAGGAGCATGTAGCGGGATAGATAAACGCGTATGCAACGCGGTGTGACGCCATCAGGTCGCGTAAAGCGGCAAAGGGTCGCCGCTGCGATGGCGGCATGGCAATTCGAAACAATGAACACCAGAAGGTGGTATCTAAAACTTACCTCTGTGAGTTTAAATTTTTCCATCTGACATGTTAATTTATATTATGCACCTTCAAAATGTAGTGTTTTAACAGCGCACGACGGCAGTGAGAGTGGCAGAGTGGAGCGGCTTGCTGCATGGGCGCTTGCCGCCGATGGCGCCTTGTTCTGGTGATCTTGCCCTCGCCAGACTGCATCATGACTGAACAAACATTCCCCGCACTTCCCCACTGCCGCGCGTCATTCCTGATGTGACATGATAAACTCACACGTGGCTTTAAATTGATCGAAAAAGAGGGGTGCGGGGCGTCTTGCCCCTTGCCCCTTGCCCCTCTTCACTGGCCGTGTCCCTTGTTCGCCCTCCCATGTTTTCAAATTGGCTCGATAAGGACAGTGGCGCGCGCAATCGTCTCATGGAACGTGGGCAAGCGCTGGCTTCCCGGTCAACCCGTCGAGTCAAAAAGGGTCGTGCCTCTCAACAAAAACGCGCACGCTCAAGCGCGGTGGCCCCCTAGTCAGTCACGTGAGTGGGTCAAGTGCAGCCGGTCCCAATGGGGGGTTTGTCCCCTTCGAAGACAGAAATCCTGTCTTCGAAGCCAATAGGACAAACGCCACCCATTGGGTGCGGAGGTTTGGTCTCTGGTCAAAAGCCCAAGTCTTGCCACTGGCCGTCCGAGTTGGATTCGCAACACGCCCGTGCCGCCGCTCGACTCTTGTGTCATGTTGGAACGAGAGAACAAGAGCCAACCTTTTTTTTTCATAGTCTTGACTCGCGCCAAACCAAGCGCACACCATCAAGCAAGCGCCCCACACCAAAAAAACACAGGCTTTCATCATGATAATGTTGTTATCACACTCCCTCCCTCCCCCTTTACGACTGAATCACTGAGACCAGACCAGAGCACGGCACCGCACGAGAGCACGCCCGTCGTCGAGTCGAGTGCATCATGTCACCCCTGTGGTCATCTCAGAACAGAAAAAAGTCCTGGGGGTTCCTTTGATTTTTTCCTTGGAATCATCATCTGCAGAAACCTGCATGGCAGACTGCACAAACCTTGAGGCACGCTACAGTTAATTCCTATGGGGACCAGGACTCTACCGACACAACCCTGCAGATCACGTGCAGGAAGGCAACGATGGGGGTGTGGAAGGTGTTGCACAGGCTACGACTCGCAGTGTAACACCCTTTGCTTTCCACCGGCACACAATGTGAGAGCTGGGTCAAGGTCAAGAGAGGTTGGCGGCACACACATTGTGTTCTCACACACACACTCAGAGAGAGCGCAAAGCAAAGGCAAAGCAAAGCAAGGCAAAGGTTGTGTTGTGTTGTGTGTTCATTATGATAAGGATCACAATGCCATTGGACCCCCTCCTAACTTGCACAAGCCGCCCCCGCCCCAATGGCAGCCTGATCTGATGGGTGAGGACTCGACACACGAGGGCACTGTCTCCGACGGGCACAGAGACGTGACCCAAGCCCAAGCGGCCCACATCAGGGGGCCCCAAGAAGGGCAGCGTGCAAGGTTAGGGAACAAGAAGGGGGGTGAACCCCATAAAGACCCTTTGACTTGCACACCGCCACCAGAAAACCACGAGAGAGCGACAGAGAGAGAGAGCGACAGAGAGAGAGAGAGGAGTGATACAAGATGCAACACACCTTTGTTACCTTTGCGTATGTACGTAACAAACAGCACAGAACCGCATCTTGCGCGCTGTCCACCTTCCACTTGGCAAGGAAGTTACTCGCTACGACGCGCGGCTTGCTTCCGTACCCGACTCGTTCCAGGCGACGGTCGTGCTCTGGCTCTGGCTGGACGACTTGGAAACAGGGGGTCGACAGCCAGACAGACAGCCAGCCAAAGCATCAGAACACGAGTCATAGGCGTGCGTGTACATGGAATGGCAACCAACCAACCCGCTGTGCCCCAACACACACACACACGCATGGTGCGATCCGATCCGATACGCTCTCTCTCTCTAAAAGACTCTCTCTCTCTCTCTCTCTCTCTCTCTCTCTCTCTCTCTGTGTTTCTTTTGTTCATTCCTTTGTTCATTCTTTTGTTCTCTCTCTCTCTCTCTCTCTTAATGTCTCTCTCTCTGTCTCTCTCGCTCTCTCTCTCTCTCTCTCTCTCTCTCTGTCTCTCTCTCTCTCTCTCTCTCTCTAACTCCCTTTCTCTGTGTGTGTCGGTAACTCGGGTGGCGTCATTTTTCCAACCGATTGCCTCTGCTGCATTTGCTCGCGCTTGCCTCCCCTCTCTCTCTCTCTCTTGCTCTTGCTCTCTCTCTGTTGCAGCTGGCTGCCATATGCCACTGACAGACTGACTGTGTGCGCTCGAAGCTTGAAGCTCATTTTCAGTCGTTGTGGTGGGTCGCCTTTTTGGCATTTGGCCATCGTTCCATCAGCTGCTCTGGCCATTAACGGCCTGGGCTTTGTCGGACACGGATGATGGCGGCTTGTGTGCTTCCCTCGGTTCCCCTGGCTCAGTTTCGGCGACCTCCTGCGCCTGTGAAATCAGCCGTTCCCGCTTCCTCGTCTTCCAACATGGCCGCCGCGGCTGCCCCGGCCGCCCCCCTCCCCACGGCTCCTACCACCTCGCGTCGCTGCTCCCCCGTCAAGCAAGAATCGATGGACGCCATCACTGATCTCTTGCAAGCCACGCTCTGCAAAATCGAGACGGCCTCACCCGCTCCCGCTCCCTCGTCCTCGTCCACCCTCGCGCCTCGCCGCGGTGTCAATGTACTATCCCTTCAAAATCTGGCCGAGACCAACACGGCGGCCCTCACGCCCGCCCTGACCCCGGTCCCGCCACCCGCCGCCAACACCACCAGCTCGAGTGTCCCCTGCACCCCCACCAACGCCTGCAAGACCGCCAACGTCACACCCCGCAAGGCCCGCCTCACGCGTCGCCTGACCTGGAGCGACGAACGCGGTGGTCAACTCGAACACAAGTGCCACTTTAGCAAATACGACGAACCCTATCGCTGTGGTCGCCGACCCCACGCGCGCCCCACCGTCCAAGCCGACCTCGACATTGGCGCCACCCTCACCGACTCGAGCACCGTCCTGGCCTTTGACTCGGCCCAGCTCTGCGCTCCACACCTCATGGCCGAACGTGCCTGCCAGCAAGGCGTCGTCCTTGAACAAATCAACGTCCGCCTCCCCTACATCTTTTGCACCGTTCGGGTCGCCAACCTGGCTTACGCCAAATCGGTCAAGATCAAATACACTTGCGACAACTGGGCCACCTCGGACGTGGTCGAGGGCGCCTGGATTTCCTCGGGCCTGGAACGCGACACGGAGCGCTTCGTCGCCACCATCAGCCTCTACAACTTTCGTCTCATCAAAAATCTTCAGCTCTGTGTCCAGTACAACGCTGCCGATCAAGAACGCTGGGACAGCGCCGATGGGCGCAACTACCAGCTTCGCCAAGTCTCCCGTGCCGATGCCCGCACCCTTTCCCCTCCCCCCTACCGCAAATGGCAACAACAGGGGGCCTGGCATGACTCGTGCCTCGGCGCCTTTTTGTGATCAAACACGCCCCGCCAGCCGCCTGTCCATAACCCTCTGCTGCAGCTGCCGTTCTGGCTCCCTCTCTCTCTCCCTCTCTCACCTCCCGGGATGTCATGCGTGGCGTGCGCTATGCGCGCACCTTTGGTGGCTTGCGTGTTCAAGTTGGGTGAGCGGCAACACACACGAGTTGTTGCCGTTCCCCATGGCTTGAACACGTCACCAAGGAAGGTTGCGCCTTGTCTGCCCGCGCACCCCGCTCGACTTTGTTCTTTCTATACTATCACAATCATGTGTGTTGTGTGTGCTCTGCTCCATAATCTGCGATGAGCCTTTATTCACCCCTTGTGTTTCCTCTTTTTGTTCCCCGCACATGGCTGAGCCATGATGGCATGCATTTGATATTCAAGCATCGCCCTGTTCCTGTTTTCTTAAAAGGAGGCTGCCTCCGCTCATAATTTCCCCATATTAGTACCCTGGCGAGTTTCGTTCGTTGTTCAAGACAAGAATCGCACCGCGCACCGCTGCTGGCGCCCTCGATTGTGGCCCCAGCCGGAAAATCGACCCCCTCTCTCATAATAATGACAGTCCATCACACGCATCGCCAGATCAAAAAGCTCAAAGCTCTCATCCGCTCGTCCCATCACTCCTTCAGACCCGGTCCTTTTCAAGTTTGCATCAGGTGACACCCAAGAGATGGTGCGTCTCTGTGTGTGTGTGTGTGCCATGATGCACGATCACACGATCTTATGTCACACACACGCTCTCTCGAATCTCTCTCTCATTTCCTAACGTGATGTGCGTACACGCAAGAGTGTCTTTGGTGGGGACATCCATGTGGTTGGTCCTCTGACCACCCAGAGCCACGTGAGTGACGATTATCTGACAATTTAGTTATGCTCACTTTATTCGCTCATATGGCAGACAATGTCCTTTTTCTTTAATGTCAGATGAAATGTTTTGTCCGGAGGAGTGACTTGGTTGAAAGGACAACGCGCCGACGGCGACACGATCGGAATGCGCGCACACACACACACACTCGCGCGCGCGCGCGCGATTCAGATCTCAACGGCCGTCCCAAGCAGACTGGCTAGTTGGTTGGCCTCGCAGATCCAAGGCTCATCGGCGCGAATCCACCCAGCTCTTTGGTCCAGCAGCCAAACATGAGCATGCAACATTGGTGTGTGGATCCCGAGCTTGCATTCCGTCCTGTCCCATTGCACGGACAACCGTTGCGCGTCGTGGGCGATGGACAGCGCCTACCCGCAACCCGCCATAGCCCTGGCCGAGCAATGCGACTCCAGTGGACATCCATGTCCCCCCATCCGCTCTCAAGCACCCCACTGCCTCTGCAAGAACCCGTCCCCTGCCTCCGCCCAACCGAGCCGCCCACACGCCCCTCCCCACCAATACGACGACTCACCGTCTGACACCAACGAGACTCACACCAACGAGACTCACGCCAACGAGACTCACATTAAGCCCTCCTCTTCCCTGGCGTTTCCTCTTATACCTCTTTTACTGACATCTCTGGACATGCTACGTCATTTTTCAATCGCCCCTGCGCCCGAGCACGCAGTCGCGCTCGACACCAGGCCAGAGCCCTGGATGTTCTTCCTCTTGCGATCCCAATATCCCTTCCCTCAACTCAAATTTACATCTCCCGAACACAGTTGCGCACCTTTCTTTACCTCCCATAGCCTCTGCTTGCACGCTCAGCCATGATGCCGTGCCTCCCTAGCGCACTGTCGGCGCTCTCTATCCTCGCTTTGCTTGGTACAGCCCCGAGAATGTTACTTCATCCCGTCCTGTCCTGCCCCTCGCCAAGGCCCCTTTCCCTCACGCGCACCCAATGACCTGCCTTGACCATAGGCGCCGTGGCTGGAGCCGGTATGACTACACTGCCTCCAAGCCCGACAACCCGCGCCGCGACCACATCGCCCGCCGCGACACCACCGCTCTGTAACTTTGATGGCATGTGCTTCTGCCCCATCGGTCTGACCGCCCGCATCGAGCTCGACGCCTTCCGCTGCCCCACCTGCCTTTGCCTGATTGACGAGGAAGAAGACAGCTTTGAGGTGCCCGCCACTGAGGAGCCCACCGAGGACCCCTGCAGCTTTGACGGCACCTGCGACTGTCCTGACCACCAGCAGGCCTCCATTCGTGTACGTGCAAAAGCGTCCCCCCTCCCCGCATGTTATCGGAGACAAAGCTGCTGCTGCCATCCGCTTGCTCCGTACCTCTGGTCAGTACAAGAGGGGTCAAGACCCATTCACTGACAGGGATCGCGCTCTTATGCTAGGTTTACGATGGTTGCCCGACCTGCATCTGCTCAGACCCCGTGACGACGCGAGCACCAACCACCTCTCGCATCCAGACAACCACCCAGGCACCCATCTCCACGACCAACATTCAGGCCACCTGCGCCCCCTATCGCCCATGCAACTGTCGCCCTGGCGCAATCAGCGTGGACACGGTAAGCACCATAAATTTGAGAGCACGCATCAAAGTCGAAGCGCGTGCCTCCCTTGACCTTGCTCGGGCTAACGCCCCCGTCCCAACGCTCAGTTTGACCGATACGGTTGCCGGAGCTGCTCCTGTAAGCCCGTTCCAACCACAACCCCGGCACCTACCACTACCAACTCTCAAGCCCAGACTACTGTCGGACCCCAAGTAACCACAAACCAGAACAGCTGCAGCGCCTACGTACCCTGCAACTGCCGACCTGGAGCCGTTCCTCGAGATTACGTGAGTCCCGGCCCGTGCCTGCCGTCCGTCTCACCTGTCATCTCATCCAGGTCACTCACCAACACGTTCCATTTCACACCTCAAAGTTTGACCAAGATGGATGCCGCCGCTGCTCCTGTCGCGCGGCCACCACGCCTGCAGCTAGTTCTGCCCCTTCCTCCACCCAGACCTCGTCTAGTTCCACATCAAGACCCTCAACAACCACCAGTTCCTCAATCTCCAGCTCGTCACGGTCCTCTTCCTCTTCCTCTTCCTCATCAACGTCATCCTCTTCCTCTTCCTCTTCAACGTCATCCTCTTCCTCGCACTCATCAACGTCATCCTCTTCCTCGCACTCCTCGTCCTCGACCACCTCTACCACCTCACCGCCTCTCAATCGTAAGCCCTTCTCAACATGCGACACCGCTTGGCGCCGTTTCCGCGCACGTTTTGTGGATGCACCGCATGCACCCCTATTCATGCCCAACCGTGCTCTTCTCCGCAGCTGGCTGCCCTGTTCCCGACTGCCACTCTTGCCAAGCGCACCAAAACGTCATCAGCTTTGAATACAACGGTTGGTACAAGCAAATGAATACAACATCCGCATTCTTGTTCGCCACTCAGGCGGCACCTGACGGAATGCTTCAATTCTGCTCCTGTATTCTCCAGGATGCTACTATTGTCGCTGCGAGGACAGGAATGCACCCCAAACTTCGCCTTATCCCCCGCAATGTGCCAACCCTGATTGCCACGAGTGTCAAGCGCATCAGACCGTTGAGTTCTATCAAGAGGCCGGTGAGCATACACGTGCCGCCCATGGACACACCCTGTTCTGTGTTTCTTCCAACGCCAAACCCACCTAACATGCCCATTCACATGGACTGCATTCCTGGCACCATGCCTAGGCTGCCCCAAATGCCGCTGTGTCACTCCCGGTGAACCTAGCACCTCTCGTGTGCCGCTGACCACAACCCAACCAACCACGACCCCTCGTCATGTTCCCACCACGACCCCTCGCCATGTTCCCACCACGACACATCGACCCATGCCAACTACTGCAGGATCAACCACCGCCCCCGGCCCCACCAACGTTCCCGCTGACCAGTGCCCAGTGCCCACGCAGTGCAATGGCGCCTGTCGCTGTGAGTGCTTGCACTGCCCATGTGCACATCTCCAAATGAGCAAGCGCCTCGAGAGGCCGCTGGCCCTCGAGACTGGTATGGACTCTGACCACTCACTTACCCTGCCTTGCAACAGCTTCAGAGGTGCCCTTTTGGACAACGGTAGCTGGTTGCTACGGGTGCCTGTGCATTCCCAGTGCTGAGAATCGTGAGTTCTTGGATGCAGGCCTTGCCGCCAACCAAAGACCATCAGGCTTACCTCTTGCCTGCTAAAATTGGGGCTTTGCGCAATTAGGCGACTATGATGTCAACTGCAGTGCCCCTGCAGAAGACCTGACAGAGTGGATCTATTCCTCTTGGAACCCGTGGTCTGCTTCGTGTGGCATGGCTTACCGGTACGCGATCAGACCTCGGTTTGGCCTCGAAATTGTCATCTGTTTGCAGTCTCATGCCTTGGTCGCAGGTTTCGAATGGCGCTGTTCTGCCCTGCAGCTTTGTGCGGGGCAACTTGTGGTCACCCGCTCGAGGTTGAGTCCCGTGACATGGGACCCTGCCCAACAACTACCATTGCCCCGGCCAACAACGCCCAGTCGAGTGATAACGGGAAGCAAGCATTTGTGCTGCGCGATGCGCTGGTAAGACTTGGACCGTGTGCATTTTTGTGTGCACCATCCCATCTTGATAGTGTGCTTGCTTGACGACTGTGCACTGGCTCATCTTGTGTTGCTTTGTTTTTTTGTTTTTTTGTTTTTTACCTTGACCCTCTCGGCGCAGACGGGTCCGGCCATGGGCCTGATTGTGGCCGGCATCGTGCTGCTGTTGCTCGTGGTGGCAGCCATCGTCGTAGCCTTGCGTCGCCGCCAGTCCCGCCATGTCATGAATGAACTTGAGGGCTTGGAGTACGATGATGGTTCGCTCAGCCTGAGGTACGGTGTGCCTTGGCTTGCCCAATAACATCCTTAAACGTTGCCTCGGCATTTGGTCTGGGCCGTCCCGCCAAGCCTCACTGGTGGCACATGCCTGTGTTTAGGCCAGCGCCTGTACCGCTGCATCGCGACAGCGAGGCCCAGCCCATCGTCGCCAACCCGGCGTTTGAAGATGAGGCATGATACGCTCCAGCCCGTCTTTATAAGTGTGATGGCTTGATGAGCCTGCTCCCCGTCCCAAAGCTTGAGTTGCTTGGTCCTCGTGTCCATAAACATACATGCGCACCGTTTTCATGTTGACTGCCCGTCCCTACGCGCGGTCTGGCAGTGGTTGTCAATCCGCACATACCAATTTCAGCCAATCATTTTAAAACCGAGTCGCAGTGTCATCCTGCAAGGAGTCTCGACTGGAGTAGCACTTGAGATGCAGCACAGAAGCGTCAAAGAAAATATGGTGTTCGAATTCGACAGTTGTCGGAAGAATGGAAGGCTGTGCAGCAAATGAAAGCCGGCAAAAATAATTCACTAAAGGGTGACCAAGCAGGTGATACTAAAAAAAAAAACCCGAAGAAGGGAGCTGGAGAAGGTAGCCGGACACGTGCAGAGGGTATGGGCTCTCATTTTGTTCGCAAAGAGCAGGGGCGAGAACAAAAGTGTTGCAATACAGCGGCTGGCGAGCACGTTGGCACGGTTCACACATCCTTCAGCCACCCCTGGCCCTGAGGAAAAAAAAAACTATTCTATGCATGTTTATTTGGTTCTTGCTGGTTTTACCTTGGCGAATAGCTCGCTAGCCAACTCATATTTCCTCACACTTTTTGTGCCAAGCGTGTTGGTCGTGCAAGCGATTGCAGCTGGAAGGAGTCGGGCTTTGGCAGTCAGTGGGTCAGTGAAGGGATCGCACAGCGATCGATCATAGCAAGTCAAGCAGGGAATTGGTCATCACTCGCAATGACCGTGACAGCAATAAAAGGCGGGTAATCGAGAAAGAAGACCAAGAAGCAGCCAGCTTGATCCAGAAGAAAGCGCCTCGAGCGAGCGCGTGACCGACATGCGCAGCTCACGCGCCTCCAAAGGGATAGACGCTTCAAGGACTGGGGACGTGCTTGTGGATGGCTTGCTTGATCAGTTCGTAGGTGACGAAAGTGGTGATACAGCTGGGCAGGACGCGCAGGATGTTAATGTGCAACCCGCGATAAAAGCCGCGCCAGCCGTCGGCCTGCAAGATGTTTTTAGCGATGGAAGCCAGACCAGCTGGATTGCGACTGTCTTGCATGCGAGCCCGAACCACCTCATGAGGGTAGGTGATGGTACCGGCAACGAGTTTGGAGCCGGCCGAAGCTAGGATGAGGCCCAAGATGGATTCCTGGATGGGAGGCCAATGGCAGCAGTGTGGTGGTGGCGGTGGCGGATGACCGAGAAGCGCGGGGCGAGAGTGAGAAGCTTGTTGGCAGCGGTGAAGAGCAAAGTGATTAGCAGAGCAGGCAGGGACGAGGGCTTACGCGGCCATCGGGGCTGGCGTCACGAGCCCGGTGTTTGAGCTCCTCATAAAGGGGAAACTGGATGGCCACGTGTAGAAGACCGAGGAAGGAGGCACCGAGGCCCTTGTAGAGTGCGGTGATGCCTTCGTGTTTGGCAATGTGGAGCATATGCCCCGGGACGGAGAGCCGTTGGAGGACGGCTTGCTCAGTACGGTGATAAACGGCCGAGATGATGCGCGTCCGGACAACCCAGAGTGGGTTGGTGAGCACGTCTACCACGCCTGCGGCACCCATGGCGGCCAGGCAGCTCTTCCATACGGCGCCACGAGTATTTGGCTCGACGCCCAGGCGTCTCCTAAAGGCATCGTACAACTATGGCGGGACAAATCCAGGCCATTGAGGCAAGGAAGAGCGTCATGTGCGAGTGGCTGTGCCGGTGGATGGATAGGTGTTGTCAAGGATGAAAAATCATGTGGCACGGGAGTAGGGGCAGACGCACGGGAAAGTAGGTGGCCCAGAAGAAGGGGAGGGTAATGAGACTAGGTTGGAGGCCTCGAAACCAGCCGCGGTAGCCTTCCTGGTTGCGAATGTCCTGTAGGGCGGCGACGAGGAGCCATTGTATCAGCTGTTCGGAGGGGCCTGCGCATGCGCTTGAACCAGGGGGCGGGGGGGGGCAGGGGTGTGATGCACGTGCACAAGTCGTACCCTAAGAATGGTCCAGAGCCCCGCTTGGTGGGACGTGCCTGGATGAATGACACCCTCGACCTGCTGGCGAACCTTGGCTACGTCCAAGGGAGAGCACACGAGGGCGTTGACTAATCCACCACCGGCACCGGCCAGAATGGACTGGTTGTAATGAATCCAATGGGCGGCACTCGTCAAGTAAGAGTGGCTCGCTGCGGGTGCCACCGGCGTCGCCGACGTCGGCGCCCCCGACGACGACGAGGAGGAGCTCGCCGTCACAGGCATGTCCTTTGGTACTACCACAACCCCTGCCTCCCCCACCCACACGAGGCTAAAACCAACCAACCCCTCAACCCTTCAACGCCCTGCCCCCCCCCTCCTCCCCCCGCTAACACAAGCCTTCAGCAGCCCGTCCAACGCGACACCGACTGCGCGCACGACAGAGAGAGAGAGAGAGAAAGACAGAGAGACAGAGAGAGAGCGTTTTGCGAAAAAAAAGTGAAAACTCGATGAAACTCTTGACACACTCTCTCTCTCTCTCTAAATCTCTCTAAATCTCTCTCTTTCTCTTTCTCTAAATCTCTCTCTAAATCTCTCTCTCTAAATCTCTCTCTCATCTCTCTCTAAATCTCTCTCTCTCCTGTCTCTCTCTCTCTCTCTTCTTTCTTTCTCTCTCTAAATCCCTCTCTTCTAAATCTCTCTCTCTATGGGGGAGTGAGGCCAGTGGATCTGAGAGGGAGGAGAGGGGCTGGGCTGGGCTGGGCTGGGCTGGGCTGCCGTTTGAGAGATTCAATGGGGTTTCGTATGCACACCCTCCAACAAACTCGCATCGAGCCGGATACCGCGGAACGAAGAAACACACAGCTACACCCTCCCATTGCCCTCAGTCTGCCCCTGGCTCCCGGCTCTCCCTGCCTGTCTACTCACTCACTCACTCTCACTCCGCTCTCTCACTCACTCTCTCTCTCTCTCACTCACCGCTCACTTCCGCCGTCTCCGTCTCTCTCGCTCCGTCTCTCTCGCTCTCTCTCGCTCTCTCGCTCTCTCTCGCTGTCGCAGATCCACGTGCTGTGGTTGCTCAGGTCGTGTGCAAAACATCAACAAGAGCTCCAGGCTGAGCCGTTCCTCGCTATGAGCAGCACCCTCTGTTCACTACGCCCTTTGCCTTTGGCTCATGGGGCACGGGAAAAGTAGACGCTGATACCCTCTCCGGCCATGACCGGTGCCAGTATCTCTATCGACAACCTGCCCTCGCCCACTGAAGAAGCCAGTGGCGCTGCCGTTTGAAGCTTTTTTTCTCTTTTTTTTTCTGCGATCATTCGCACATTCTGCGAAACCCAATGGCTCAAACTGTGATAAACATTACACTACACTACAATCACCTTGGTATATCTTCACTGCATTCGCCTGCTCAAAAAGTATTTTACATCCTGGTGTAGGTGATGAAAATCAATAGTACCTCTCTTAAATTGAAGTATCGCCAACCTCTTGTTGTGGTTGTGGTTGTTGGAGGTGAACCACTGGCAAACGGCAGCGCCCCCGCCCGCCGCCCGCCGCCTTGGAGCTCCTCCTTCCGACGCTGCGGTTGGCGCACATCGGTTGAGACACTACCCTTTCTTGCGCTCACCTCTCCTGCTTATTTTTCTTCTTCGCAGCCTCCCGGAAAGCCTTTGTGCATTCACACACAACATCACACAAGCCCCACGTCACACAAGCGAGCGACCGCCAACATTTTCTTGGTGCATATTCGCTTCTGCAGGTACGCCGCCGGCCGGGGGGCGGTCCTTGTTCTGTGCTCGTTCCATGCTTGTACTGAGCTTGTTCTGTGCTCGTTCCATGCTTGTACTGAGCTTGCACTGGACTTGTACTGTGCTTGCACTGGACTTGGGTCTTGGTTTCGGCCGCACTGACATTGGTTTTGTAACGTGTCAAACGCAGACGACTCGTCGTGGTCTCGTCAGCACTGAACCAGGCCATAGCCGCCTCGTTGCTTTCGCTCGTCACTGCCTTTGCCCTTTCCAAGCAGTCGCCGCTCGTCGAACGGCCGCACACACTGGTACCTACGCTTTTGGCAGTTTCTTCTCCCCTGCTCCTTTTCTGCCCCTGCTTCCCCTCCCGTGCTACCCCCTCACATCTTGGACCCCCCCAGCTCGCGCCATGGCCAACAAGAGCAACCTCTCGGCAGCCGAGCTGGCTCGCTTCCCCGCAGACAAGCTCATTCCCAAGGATGAGACAGGCGTAACCGACTTTCTTGTAGGTACTTGCCTTTTGCCCAGAGACACGCTCTTGATAGCACCAACTCACACTGGTTTGCCCCCCCCCCCCCCGTTGCTGCCTCCCTTGTTTTTCTATTCAGCGTGCCCGCCCCGACTACGATGGCCGTGGCATTCGCGTTGCCATCCTGGATACGGGCGTCGATCCCGGTGCCGTCAACCTGCAAGTCACCTCGACTGGAGCTCGCAAAATTGTCGACCTTATCGATGCCACTGGTCGGAATGCGCTGTTTCATCCTTGTGCACCAGCTACTGCGCCTATCCCTAAGAGCACCCACCCCATTCACCTCTCTCACATGATCTTCGCTGCATCATACAGGCTCTGGCGCCGTCGACACGGCTACCGTGGTCCAGCTGAATGAAGATGGCACCCTCAAAGGCGCCTCCGGCACCGTGTACACGAACGTGTGTGATATGCGCCTGCTTCCCCTTGACCCCCACCCACCCCCATACCTTCAACTGACACAACTCTTCGTGGTCAGGTCCCCGACGCCATGCGTAGCCGCGACGGATCTTATCGAGCTGGCTCATTTTACCTCCATAACCTCTACACCGGAGGTCTCCGCAAGCGCATGGAGGTCAGTATTCCTGCCGCATCCACTCACTGGCCCTAACCATCTTCTCCCAGCCCTGACGCGCATCATGTGGCAAGTAGGCGTGGCGTCGCAAGGACTGGGACAAAAACCATGGCCAGCTCCTGGCCAATGCCCGCAACGCTCTTCGCAAAGCACTCGCTGTCGATGCAAAAGATCAAGTTGGTCTGCGCTGCCCATCACCGCTACTAGCTGGCCCGTTGCGACGCGATCATTCTTGTGACCGCAGGTTTGAGCTGACACGACTTCTCCCGTCACCCGCTTGCGCCAAAAACATACAGGACCGAGCGCACCTTGAAGAGTTGCAGGGACGCGTCAAGGCCCTTGAGACACTGCAAACCTCTTATGAAGACAAGGGTCCTCTCTACGATTGCTTTGTCTTCAAGAGCAACGAGGATGAGGTGAGGTTTTTTGGGTTTTTTGGGTTTTTTTTTTNGGGGGGGGGGGGGGGGGAA